GATCTTTGTGTGCAATTTTGGCATTATCATTTTTTATTTTTTCGCCAGCAAACAGACCCAACATAGCCCCCCCCCCCCCCCATCCAATTGTTTGTAGACTTATGAAAATGTTGATAAAATGGGTGACTCTTTTAGAGAATAACAGGTTATCCTCCCCAGTTTCAGATTCTGATAACTGACCTATACCGTCAGCATGTCTCTACAGTTTCCAGTACGCATTCATACTTACGTACCTCCGAAACACTGAGAGACTCATGTTCTAGTAGGCCTACTTCAGCAACCTAAAACGCAGCTGTGTTGGATACAATTACGGCGGAGAGGAGAAACACCCAAATCAGTCTGTTTTGTCTACCACTTGATAGGCCCTGCTGCCCTCTACCAGGGTCACAGAGAAGATTTTTCTTAGATATTCACTGATATTTCTTTGACCATTCACCAGCTGTACATGCATATTTTTGTACTGTGTCCAGTGAAAAATTTTAACACAACAACTGTGGTCTCTCGCAGAGAGTAACATGTGCGAAACGTGCATTGTGATGGCGGAGACAATCTTCGTCTTCTCTAACACATTCAAGGAATCCTCGAGTCTGTTGCGCTGCTAAGTGGATTGACAATATATGTTACTTATGACCAGTGATAAACGATTTGACCACAAGTGTACTTTTCATTATTTCCTGAATAACTTTGGCACAATCAAATTCATCCTTTATGCTCAAAAATATATGAAAAGATGCATTCTTCGTGAAAACCGGGTACCCAGAGAATAAAAATCGCCATTACTGTCTAGTGAAACCGGGCCCACATCACATCTGTCAGGATGTTGAAATTGCCTTGAAGATTTTACCATATGCTGCGTTTGATTTACGCCTATATTTCTTTTATTTTTACTTGATGGGCTAAAGTGTTAAATCTGAGTTAGAGGTTAAAAATGTTGAAATTGTTTAGATTTTGTAGAAGTTTTTAAAAAGTTTTAGAAAAAAATAATGTCACATGATATGTTTCAATGCTCTCATTGGCGTGCTACTAGTAGTAATAAAGGTGGATAAACATAGGCCTTCGCTTTAATATGGTTATTTTTAAAATTGTAATTTAATTTGATGAAAATGAAAACGCCCTTTTAAGTGAACTTTGTAAACATTGGATGACATTTCCGGTTGAATCTCAATGAGTTAGGCCTAATAATCGCTATATGAAAATAGCTTATAATGTCCGAAATCTCAGGATTCTTATATTTTTTAGAATTCTGCTGGTCATATTGACAGAATTTTTTTTTACTAGAATATTATCCTTCTAATTTAGACAATTACAATAAGTGCTAAATTAGGACCGGAAGCACCATTTAAAATAAAGTATAATTGCTGTTCAATATGTGAACCCCAACAGTGCGGCGTACTCGTGAGTCACTTGGAAAGTTTGAAGCTTGTACAATGTGATTAGTAACTTACATGTACAATACTTTCCCTCTTCGCCAGGAACAGGTTTTTTTTCTTTTTTTTTTTTTTNGTGTAGTCAAGCGCAATAATAAGCACACAGAATCAATGGATACCAGCGCCGTTGCTAGGAACAATGGCAGCTCATGAATATGTATCTGGACGTGACACAAAAGGTGCGCAAATAAACGTGCCCAACAGCGCGCCAGAACGAGGCCGGCACCGACTCCATATTGCTCTTCTGTTTATGCGTTGCTCAGGAAAGGAGCTCACGACAAGGAAAGATTTGTCACCGTTTCTGGAGTATTTTCCACAGTTTGGTGCGGTGAGTAGCGAATTTACTCTTTTGAGTATCATATCTCCGTGTATGATTAATATCAGGGCTAAGATATGGCAGAGTTTGGCCGTGTTTTATCAGGGAAAGTGTAAACGATTACTCACATGCTAAAACAGGTGCCCCTCTTCCGCCCTCCAACCACATGCACTTTGACAGGCTTTCGTTCTTTGCTAAAACAGTGAAAAGTGCCGGAAAATTATTGTATTTGATGCTGTGCAGTGAACTTCTCGTGTTTCCTAAGATATTGTACTGTTCAAATGCAGTGGCATATGACCGAAATTACAAGCATTGAACATTAGATAATATTTAACAAAGACGGCCAATGCATTAGGAATTCCAGGTTTTTCATAATAAATTATTGCAGTATTTCCTGCTGACTCTCCACAATGTTGGAATCGTGCTCTTGCCATAAAACAGTATTCTGATTCTTAAAGAGGTAAATTATTGCACAGGATTTTTTTGCACAAGATGTTTTACTTTAGCTGTGTATGGTAGTAAATGTTGGAAAATTACTGCCCAGAAGTCTGATTATTCCCACCAGTCCAGTCCATATAGCCATTGTCCAGTATCGACTGGTTATATCATAATTACATTATGGGCTGGGTTTGGCCGTCTGTTATTCTGCTTTGGTCTGAAGAGTGTTTCCTTAAAACCATAACATATATGTCTATTAATAGAGGGCACCTGCTGGGTCTGTGGTCATAGTGTTTCTCCACTTCAGGGTTTGCTGTAAGTACTCAATTAACCTTTTGCTTTAAGTGCTCAATTTACGTAGAGTCTAAACATTCTGGTGCTTTGAAGAAAGGTGAAGACTTGTGGCTGAGATTTTTTTTAGGGAGATGGTGTGGTGTGGAAAAAACATTTTTATTAGTTCAGAGTGTAAAGGACAAACTCAACTTTTACTGACCATTGTGAAGTACAGTTTTCATACCTGGTATCACTGTGGCTTGACATTTTTTGATTGGGGTCAAGTTATTAATTGTTAGCCAAATTAGTGAAAAATTGTATCTCTCCATTTTTTCAACAGATTCCAATCATTTTAGCATTTGGTGAAATGTCATGCGAGGCACAGTTTGAGTATTAGTACATGTAAACACAACACTGCACTGGCAGAGCTCCTGACGTCTTGTGTAGATTTTGTTGCCAATTATAGCAGGCAGGAATTTTCAGGAGAAAAAAATGTTTATGATTGGCAAAATCTCTCAACATCTGTCAGTATGGAGGTGTGGTGGGGGGGGGGGGGAATGCAGTGTTGTATACATATATACATGTCTAGATGCAGTCTTTGCACTGCCTAGCATACTGTGTTAAAATAAGACAAAACAGAGTGTAATTACCCATCAGAATTATTCATGACTCACGTCCTTTATTCTATACAACCACTACCATTACACCTTAGTCATAAGAATATATATTTTTCATGACTGGACCAGTGAATATGAAAATATGAGAGAGTTGTGACAACATCAGGACTTGTCAAGCAAAGGCATCAGTAGAACATCAGTCAGTCAGTCAAATATAGTGTCAGCTTGAAAGGCCTCTTTTTCCCCTTCTTCAGAATGATTCCTGTTGGCTTAAGTGCAAACTCAATTAAGGCTTCTGTCCAGATTAAGGACATAGTAAAGTAAAGTCAACATTTGGGCTCAAAAATAATCAGGCTTGTAGATATTGAGCCAGTTCAAATACTCTTGATATCGTCCATGTGGATGATACAAGGCCAGTGAAAAATAAAATAATATTTCTGAGGCTGTTAATGTTCAGATAGCATCTATTTCCTAACCTGGCTTCTGTGTTCTTATGTGCTATATCAGCTTTGCCACATGGGAATGAAGAAAGTTTAGTTGGTTTATTAATTATTAATATAACTTGAAATAATTTGCAAAATGATATTTTGATATAACAAAAGTGGTTCCCTGATAATGCATTCTTTTGCATTTTTTTCTTATTTTTGTTGTTGTTGATGATATTTTTTGAAATTCAAAGAAATTTTCTTTAAAAATGATAAAGTAAAACATTGTAAAAATAGAAAACAGGTGCTTGCAGAAATTCAATCTAGTTTGTTTGGAGTTACAATCTTCTTTTTCATTTGATTTTTGGAGAAAAAAGCTTTTAAAAGTACATTTAAAGCACAAATTAGACTTTGGTCTCCATTTGCACAGGCTGATTACATGTGATTTGTTTTCTGCAAAGTAATTTTCAATAGTCTATTCTTAGAAAAACGTCATTAGTCTTGAGGGCTGATGTTTCAACTGTTTTATAATGTGCTGTCTTGCAATGCAAACAAAAAGAGAAGTTTGTATGGATTTTAAAATGCATCTGTTTCCTTTTCTAATTAATGAACTGTTACTGAAAAGTTAGGCAAATGCAGAAGCAAATATATTTTAATTTCAGTTCCAAGAAAAGCGTCTTGTATTTATGGAAAGCAAAAATGAATCTTTGACCACCTGCTGTGATAGGAAAGCTGATGAAGTAAATGTTACTAAGTACTAATATATAGCAAATAAATAAATAAATAAATATATAATAAATAAATAAAACATATATTAATTTAATTGTGTTAAAGATGGAGAGCATTTCTTTGTTGATTTGCAATCTCTGTCAGAAGGAGACTTGTAATACTTGTAATACTGATAAATCTACTGGTAGATTAGGCAGTGGTATAAACAGTTCAAACAATTTACACATTTGTCATTTGTAGCAGACCAAGAGGTCATCTTCTCACGCTTAAAGCATTCAAACTAAATTTTTTTAAAATCAGACTTGTATTTGCTTTTAAAATGAAAATTATCATGTAACTGTTGGCTGAAATGACTAAGAAAATTTCCCATTAAGTTTTGAAACTATGTTTATTTCAATTCACAATATATCAGAATGGGATGAATTTAATTTGCCTAATCCCACACCCTCTAATCTTCCACAAAAAAGGCATGCATGTAAGAGTTCAGATCAGTATGATCTGTTATTGCCTACAATCAGTCTCATAGAAAACCAGTGCACCATGTAGTATTGTGTTTTTCTATAAATTTAATTAACTTCTATACAGAGCATTGGTAAGAAACTGCAATAAATCACGTAACTGTCAGTTATTATTAGTATCAACAGAAGTGTATAAAAAACTTGTGGCGTTACTTCAGATCCTGCCACAGGTAGCAGTTGACATTTGAGGACAAATTAAACTTGAGATTATCTTTCACGTATCGGGGATTACCTTACACGTATTTGACGAATCCCTTTATCCTGCATTACGTGATGCGACTAAAACGACAAGAGCTCTTTATGTCTTCACAGTGTTTCTAAAAAAAAAGAAAAAGAAAAAAATACAAACACTGCGTGATGAAAGGTTTGCGTATGAACAAGGAGATTAACTTTTAAGTTTTTTGCTGTTGTTTGTGTTACCTGGCTGCCGCGATAGTTTGATGTTGATATGTCTTGAATTATGTTGAAAGGTGAGCTTTGGTTATATTTACAATGAGCTTGTTTGAAGTTTCAAATGACTTTATCCCTGCTTTTATCAGTATGGGAATTTTTAATGCCAAGAAGTGCCTGTAAAACTACCTGTCTTGCACACTAAGATGCTGGTAGGTATATTTTTTACCTGTAGAATGGCAATCATGTTGTTAAAAGAAATCCATTTTGATGTCAAGTAAACCTCCCTTCTCCCTTGAACAAAAAGGAACATAATTGAAAAAAACTGCTACAGTGTAGCTTAATATTGGCAGTACATAAAAATGCTGTATATCACATTTAAGTCAATTTTTTTTCTTTTTCTGAAAACACCCTGAACCCATCAAAGGGAAATAGCTTTTGATCTTTACTTATGTTTTTACAAACACACACACACACACGCATGCACACGCACACACACACACACACACACACACACACACAGACACAGTGTTGGATATATTCAGCAAATTCTACACTACAAGTTGCCATATGTAGAGACTGTCAAATAAACACATTTATTGTTTACGTTGTATCTTAGCAACTTTATCAAAACACATGGCAGCCATAACTGTGAAATCAATAGCGTAATCATATCTCGAGGAGGAATGATTGACAGACCAAGACATAAGATACAGCCAGCATGACCATAAAAATGGATGTTATTCCGTCAGAATCAATTTACAGAATCATGCAATGTAAAATTTGCTGTGACAGTCAGAGCTTTTGTTGTATACCCTTTGGATAATGGAGTGCTTCACGGAATGGACCATTTGTCTTCCTTGTACTTTCGTGTAGCAGATATAAATAATAGATATGAAACAGTATTCTCTTCCTGTTGTCAGTTGCCTCCCTTAGTTGCAGAAACAAAATACTTGTAAAAACTCATCTGCCATTTCTGCTATCAGGCGAGATACCAGCAGTAATACGAAGCTTACAGTGTGGCAGTGAATATGTTTTGATATATTTATTTCAAATATATGGCAGTGTAAACTCAGCCCTATAAAAATATTTCGCTGTTCATAGAATTGAGCAAATATTGTGTTATTCTTGGACTCAAAGTGCATTAGAAAATTAAAGCAGCTGAAAGGGGTTTCTTACTTTCAGAAGACATTTAGCAATACATTTTTCATACTTTCTAAAAGGATATTTTGATACCCTGAACTGAACTATCAATTGGCTGATATTTATTTAAAAGCTGCTACATACTTGGCTAGTATAACATTGCACTGATTATGAGGAATGAATATAGTAAGAAAGGGACTTATTTTTGTAGTAACCTTTGTAGTTCAAGTACTTAGTGTTATCTCTGCTAAGAAAAATGCAAACAATTGCAGAATGAAGTGAAATAGAAAGGAAAAAAAGAGAGAGAAAATTAAAATCCACAAGTAGATTAAAGTTTAGAAAAGCATTCCTTTTAACAGGGTCATCTTTTCCTTAATAAGACCCAGCACCAAAAAATGCTTTATTTTCGCAAAAGAATCTACATAAATTCCTGAAAATGTTTTAACCCCAGCATGGAAAAATAGTAATACAATTGGTTTTATGTCTGTTTACATGAACGGATTGGTTTTTATTGGTGCTCTGACATGGTTTCACTTGTTAACCGCATGTTTATGTGAAAAAATGGTCGGTATTAATCTTGTTGAAGCGGTGGTTGTAATGTTTTAGTTTCAGCCATTGTTTTTATAAATTGGTTCCTGATTTCAGCAGTTTTGGGCCTAGGACTCAACAGCAAGACAACATATGGAGAAATGTTCTCTTTATTTGAGTTATTGTGGTTTAGCATTAGTATAATTCCAGTGAGTGTTATCTGTGAGTGATCAAACTTAAAGCCCTCTACATGCATCTGCTTTTTTTTCCTGCGGTTGACATTACATTTAGAGGCTTCGTGAAAGTCTTTTGATGCTTCAAAAGAAGAAAAAAGAACGATTTTCAGTTTGCACCAAGAAAAATGCAGTTCCATAAGGTTTAGATTTATCGTTGAAAAAGCACATGTTATTACCCGGGGCAGTGATCTAAGGGGCATAAAAACCCTTGTAACAGTATCATTTTACTGCCCATTTGTAAGCAGCATTTTCATTGAGCCTGTAAAATCTTCTTAGCTTAGCACCAGAAGCCCAGGAAAAAAAATCTGAAAATGGTCTGTAGACACATTTTGACCAAAATTCAGATGTGTCTTGACCCTCTAAATTTAATTCAGGGTTAAGTTTTAAAATGAAATATTGTGGACCTGTCAACAACAAGGAAGAAAAGACTCCTATTGAAAACCAATATGTACCATATTATTTTTAAAGGATAACTGGACTTTAAGCCTTATTGCAGTAGACCAGAAATTTGGTTGAAAAAATCTTAAGTTTTGGAAGAAATTAATGCCTTCATTGTAAGAAACCTTTTCTAATTCAAATGGCATTAAGAGTAGCTTACTAGTTGTAGATACTAGTATATGAGTGGTTACAAAATGGATAATTTATCCATAATATATATCATAAATGTAATGTTCTATATTTGAACTATTTTTCAGATGCCCCTAAGCAGAAGAGAGCATGTTGTAATCCAAACTTGCAGTGACTTAAGGGTCTAACAGTCAAGATGTAGACCCAAAGCATTGAACTCAGCATTCTACGCTACAGGACATTCTCATGCCGTGGCAAATGGCGGAAACAATGGCGAGACGGCCTCTGAAAGATGCCGGCCTGTCCCACACACAGCGCGACATCGGGGAGGACCGTTACACAGCCCTACGCAGGCCACGCAAGATTCGCTTCTTCTCTAATGGCGATCGTTTCTTCAAGGGGAAGAAGGTGTACATTACACCAAATCGTTATGTTACATTTCAAGATTTACTAGATGATTTGACGAAGAAATTGCCAACACTCACATCGCTGCCTTATGGAGTGCGGCAGATCTTCACACCAGGGGGCGGTAAAAAGATTCGAGACATCGAGGACTTAAAGGATGGGGAGTCCTATGTCTGTGGAGGATTTGAGACTTTTAAACCAATGAAATATGGGAAAGAAGACCTGAAGACATGGCATTCAGGTTAGTATATAGAAATGGATAGAACAGGAAATCTTTTTTTTTTTCTTTTCCAGTCAAAGAACCAGAGGTCAGGTTTACAGGAAGATTTTAGACCAAAGATGGAGTCAAACTATTCAGTCAACTTTGATCCAAGATAAATCAGTGTTAATTCCTTTAAATGTGAAAGATTTTAATTTATATCAGGGAAAATTTGCTGTTGTTTCAGATCAAAAGTCACCCTATTTTATTGGTGTGCTCCAAATTTACTTTGACATGACCAAGATTTTGGTGTTAAAGTTAAGACCAACGTTCGATCCAAAATATCTTGTTTGACAGCGTCCTTTACAGTTTTGCGACCAGAGGTGTAAGGGGTCAAGTTGTTAATTCCCTCATTGTTTGTTCATGTTATGAAGTATGTATGCTTACACTAGACAGACCTGATAACTGGAAATACCATCTCTACTGGGAATACAGGATGACCTGCCACAGTTACAAGCTCAGTGTCAATATTAAGGCGTGTTTTCACTCATATTGGATTGGCCACACTTGGTTCAGCTCTTCTCAGATGAAAGGCTTTTTAAAAGTGATGAACTAATCATAACTATACCCTCCTTTCCTGAAATCTATGGTACTCAGTTAGGCAGACCCAACTTAGATGGCGACTTGCCTTAAAATTGGGATGTCATACATTTACTGAAGCTGGTGGATTATTTATATCTGCTATCCTAAAGAATGCCAATGGATACCAATGACCGTTTACTGACGTCAGAATTATTGGAAAGAAAATTAAAGATTAGGCGTCAATTAGTCGCATAAAAAGACCATGTTTTTCACTCGATAAGCACAACTGAAAGAGGGCCAATTATTGATCAACCCCATTGGTAAAGCTAATTGTGTAGTGAGGAGATGAGTGTGAAATCTATATAAATTTTTGGCCACTGATCTAGAGTTAGACAAAATTTAATGACCAGATGGAAAAAATGAGTGAGAGGAGATAGAATAAATGTCTAGTACGCCTTTTTGTGCTTTATTTTGGATTTATGAGTAAAGAAAGTGAATTTTATATACTTGTGAACACTTTTCATTTGAGGAACCATAAAATGCCCCCCCCCCCCCTCCCTCCAATTTCATATTCTTCACCCTATATGGGATTGGTTTCATCATCATCAGCAATTCTAATTTTGATTTCCGTCTTAACATAACAAAAGTCAAACATATTTTAGATTGCGCAGCTAGTTAGGACAACAAACAAATAGATCCACTTTACAATGGCCAAGGCTGTTTCATTTGACCTCAAAAGTTTAACCGAACAAAGAGGCGTTATTCCCATCTTGAACTGCAGCACATTATTGCTGTTATGATTACAGACCAGAGCACACTGCTGGTACTTTCTTTCATAAGTACTGCTCCAGAAAAATAGGATGTTAATGAGTCAGTTTTGATAGTAGTTGCTTTGTTTCTGAATTTCCCCAATGCTGGAAGCTAAACTGAGGTCAGCATGACAACTGGGGGAACTGACTGAGGATGTGGTTTCTTTGACCCAAAATAAACCAGTAGCTAGTCCACTAATATGAAATATTACTCTTAAGACTTGTTTTATGAGAAGGAAGAAAAGGATTATGTAGTAGACTAATTGCTACTTTATGTAAGCAGAATCATTTATTTTATCCCAAATTGATGTTGACCAAAATTTTCAGTGTAAAAATATTTTAAAAATAATTAAGTTTTTCAATGATTTCTTAAAAATGAAAGAAGGACTCTTTTATTTAAAATGATAAAAATAAGTTGCATAGTAATGGTGAGTTTTTTTGAGGTAAGTGACGCAGAGATCTAGTACGTGAGTAGCAGCATGCTGCGTCAACAGTTCTTACCATCTTTTTTTTTCAAACATTTGTCTAGAATTTCACTTTCTGTTGTTTCCTGATGCTAAGTGATGCCAGTGTCTAGCAGACTGCATGCCTCACTGGCAGCTGCTGTCCAGTATTGATTCTGGTACTGTAGACTTGTTGGTAGTTATATATATATATTAAAACAGTACATGAAGTACCCCCCCCCCCCCCCGACACACACACACACACACACACACACACACACACACACACANTTGCATAGTAATGGTGAGTTTTTTTGAGGTAAGTGACGCAAAGATCTAGTACGTGAGTAGCAGCATGCTGCGTCAACAGTTCTTACCATCTTTTTTTTAAACATTTGTCTAGAATTTCACTTTCTGTTGTTTCCTGATGCTTAGTGATGCCAATGTCTAGCAGACTGCATGCCTCACTGGCAGCTGCTGTCCAGTATTGATTCTGGTACTGTGGACTTGTTGGTAGTTATATATATATATTAAAACAGTACATTAAGTCCCCCCCCCCCCCCCCCGACACACACACACACACACACACACACACACACACACCATTAAAAAAAACAGGAAATAGAAATGAACAATTGAAAAAAAAAATATTTTGAAGTGCCTTAAACATTTGACATTTGGTTTTTAAAAGTTTTGGTAATTTTTTATCACCCTTTTTTTAACTCATGCATGGCCAGCTCCTACATATGGTGTATTTGCAAGAAGAAATGATGTGTTTGAATGTTTTTTTTTTAGTAGTCAGGCAGGCAGACATGGTAAAACAGTTAGTCTAAGAAAAAAATTTAAAAAGAAAAAAAGTATTTTTAGGCGGCATTTGTAAAACATTGATCAGGCGCAGTACCACACAATTTTCGTACATTGTTTAAATGTCCAGAATCACTACATATTTCAGTCTTTACCAGCTGCAACGTACCCAAAAGAAGGTCACTTTTCAACGTAATTCATCAAAAAAAAATATTTGTTTGTCAATTAAATTTTATTTGATTTGGGTGCAGCATACCCCCTTCCCTGTACCTCCATCAACTATTCTCTTTCAACAAAGTGTTTGCTTAGAATGACTAACTTGCTTGTGTAGCAAGCAAAATCAGTCGAAAACAATCAGACAAAACTTTGGCCCAGTCCTCCGATTCATGGTGGTCAATAAAAGTGTCCAGTAACCAATAGTGACCAGCGTCAGTGACGGTGAGGTTGTTATGTTACATTGTTGATTCCGCACATTAATTGGTGTTGATTCTTTGTCAGTGGGTATGAATGTTATCGTTACCAGGTGAAATGACATAGATAGGGTGTGGGGATTTGTTTGTTGACCTTGTTTTCAGAACCAATTGAAGACTTTGTCACTTATCATCTGCATCATGCCTCCATAGAAGTGAGATGTTATGTTTGAATTCCACAGCATGGAAATGAACTCATTCTATTTTCTTTTTAGTTGCATGAAATTGAGAGTAGTAGGTCTTCATATTAGCTACCAGTTTTTTTAATGTAGATCTTAAACATGAACTCATTTACAGATGTGATGGAAAAAGGTGAATTTTCTGTCTAGAATCAACATCCTTTCTAATTTAATAATATCCCATGAAAAGTGTGTGTGTTTGTGTGTTTATATACTAACACATTCACACATAACACAGTTAAAGCTCTGTTCGATGTAACAGCACTGTTCAGCTTTATAGATCTCAGCAAAGTCATCAATACGCCTGGATAAGGCCAGCTATCCCTGAACACACATACACACACATGTTGTACCTGGGTAAATATTGGACTCCTAATCCCTCGCCCCATCACCGAGTAGCATTAATGAGATTGTTTGGCAGCAAGTTGGTGTAACGGGGTGTAAGTGTTTGATCGTGTTTGGTCACACCGGGCGTAATTAGCGAGGCTCTGTTTGCCATGAGGCCCCGGAGGTGTTGACGGAGAGCTCAGTAACACTGCTGCCGATGCTTTCCCAATAATCCCAGTGTTATGAAGAGTTTGGATTTGTTTTAAATGTACACACGTTGATTGAAGATATTGAGTTTGCCCGTCAAAAATAGAATGCTGAGCTTGATTCTGTTCGTTATTTCTCTTGATTGGAAAGTGGGTGTGGGTGTTAAAGGGGGGGGGGGCAGAAGAAAGATCCTTCACAAATACAGCATTTTAAGATGTGTTACCAATGGTATTAAAGGAAATGAAAGGAAAATTGGATGTGTTTTTAACTTTTTTAAAAAAATTTTAGTAATGGCAGATTCTGATGATAGTTTACATTAAATTTTGCTAAACATTATTTAAACTAGATATTTAGGGTTGACCCAACTTCTCATTCCCCAAGGTCAATCCCCATTTTTTAATTACTTTAAATAGTTTGTTATTAGTGATAAAATTATGGTACTTATAAAAAAGACTGTAAAGAAAAAGTCCCTGTCAAAGTGCACATGTTCTTAACTACCACTTATAGAAGTATTTCAAAAATAATCACAATAAACAAATTTGATATCTCTAAGCAATATTCAGCCTCCGTTTACTTAGGACAACTTAAAGAAGTCATTGTGAAATATACAATAAATATTGATCGAAAGTAATATCTACAGCCAGCAAGTGCAGTTATTATTACTCAACCCCAACTTTATTTTTGGTGTATCAACTATTATGTGATATTGTCAGTAAAACGCTTGGCAAATATTGTCCATGGGCTAAGAAAAACACATTCCCCTAGGGGGGACGTGATGAAGTTGTTTTTTTAAAGCCATGGTGTTTTCTGATGGAAGTGAATTTTGCAAGATTCAGTGTTGACTTTTGGACCATGTGGTATGAAAATAGCACACAGAATTACATGTGCTTTATGACCAGTTATTATGAAGTAGATCAAACAGTTCTTTTACTGGAGGTGAACTGCTGAAAGGAAAATTTAGTTGCCATGTGTAAATGAAGAGCCATGTAAGGTAAATTGTAATCTTTTTAGATTGAACTATTGTTGGGTAATCTTTATTCATACTAGTAGGTTAATTGATGTGAAAAGTTCAGCACAACATACAATGGATTTAACTTGATAATGATAGTTTATGATTTTTTAGTACCCCCCATGTCCCTTATTAAAAAAAACATACAGTAAATTTGCTTGGTTTTTATGTGACCTGCTTTGAATTCTGATAATAATGGACAAAAAGTCCTTATTGAAAAAGGCTTCCATGTGAGAGTGGAGAATAGGAGCCAACCCTCATTGAAGAACTCATTGATCGATCTTTCCAGCTGCTAAAAGATTAATGAAGAGATCTTTGGAGATCAGTGTGGCCTGGGGCAGTGGACGACCACTAGATGGCGCTTCTGGTACAATTATAAAGTCATTGATTCCGTAACCAAGGGGGGGGGGGGGGGGCAATGAGGCCAAGGGGCTTGGGGGGGGGGTTGATAAGGGGGTAGGGGTTACTTGCACTAGTTTACTAGTAAGCTGAGTAGGGTTCGTAGTATAGGTCAGAATTTGAGAGCAATAGTCGGCATGACCTGTGACATTAAGCTTCTGATTCAAGTGCCATTCACTTCACGGGTGTCATGGATACACAGAGTTTACTGGTAATTAATTCCTCGGGTTACCACAGAACATTCCAATCCCAATTAGATTAAATAATTTAAAAATAAATGATTCAACCAAATATATTGTGATGACTAATCAATATGGCACATGGTTATTTCTACAGCTTGTGTTTACTTTTATTTTAATTAGGCCATGCGTTTAACTTGATCATAAATATTGAATATATATTTACCTTAAATATTGTCTTAGCGTCTTGAAATAACAAGAACCGATCATTGATTAATTGTTCTTAGTAACCACTGTGGGTCTTTGTATTTTCATAAATGGTGCTGCACGTTTCATATATTCTCCATAAAGGTGGTTGTTGCACGTTTAATTATAAACTCATTATTATCAGCATCACAATTATTATTACTGATATTGGTTTTCAACTGAAAAGAAGAATTTTGTTAAGAAAATGTTGAAAATTATAATAATGACTTCTGATGCAGTAGAGGTAAAATTTGATGATAACACTTAGCACAAAATACTGTGTGAGTATGAAAGGAATGAGAAAAAGATTTACCCCCCTTCCTTTTCTCTCCCCCCCCCCTCCAAAAAAAAGTGAATGTTATGATTTTTTGTGTAATGTGGCATGTTATTACTTATAAATTGAGGAAACAACAGGGAATGATGGGTTGTTGATTAGGGGGAAAAAAAGGGAACCACAAGTGATGCAATATGAAAGTGAAAAAATTACATCAATCATAGGAAGTCAATTAATCGCCACATAAAGCAGAATCCAAAACCCAAAATAAAAGGAATAAAGAGATCATAGGATGATAAAATGTATACAGGTGAACAAATTTGGCAACTTAAATTATATAACTTATGTAAGTGTGGAATCAATTCCCTGGCCTTTCAGTCCTTAGTGACCACCACACAGGGGTTATTTTGGATCAATACAGCACTTGACCACTGACATTTGGTCAGAGGCAGTGGTCAAACACCACATCTTGGTCAAGCACCAACTCGTCTTCCAGTCTCAGGGAAAAAAAATGTCTGAGACTTTTTGCCGAGGTGAAAGTTGCTGCTGAGTGCCACAGCATAAAAAAGTCTGTCTCACCTTTTTCTGAACGGACACCTCATGGTGAAAGTTGGGTGAAGACCTAAAATTTCAGCTCTCATTTGGACAGATGGGAAAAAAAGCTTAAAAGGAAATCAACGGTCTCAGGACTTTTTGACAAAATTATTTTAAAAAATAACAAGAAAAAATACTTCTACCTGGATTCTTCATGATGGAAGAAGTTTTATGATATTGTCAACCCGGGGGAGCCAAGTTGAACACGTTTTAATATGTCCTTTATCTTGTGAACATTTACCAGTAGATAGCACAGTATGCAGACAGGCAGCGGCTCTGTCAACAGTGGACTGATATTTTAGAGAGATAATTTTAACATCATGTTCAACAAGGGACAGGAGAGGATTACGGATATCCTGGAGTCAACTTTTTTTCACAGTAGGTACTATGACGTTGACAAAATGAAGGGAATCGTTACAATGAAAAGCGAAGGCCAGTTGTGCTGCAAGTATAGGATACTCCACTGCCTGTTAATACCTTGACATTTGGTGTCTACATGTATTTACTGTATATATTTAGACTAGGGTAGTCTCTTTCTGTATGGTAAAGCGGAGTTTTTTAGGAGACTTAAACCTCCAGATTACTTGCCTTTCGAAGATTAGTATGAAGACAGTGGATCTTTGGATCGTAATGTTGCCTTTACTTGCCAGTTTGTTCAGAATCCGTGAATTTGTCATAAGCAACGTGAAACCAGTTAACTAGTTTGTAAAAGGAAGCTAATGAAGAAAAGTGGAATGAACTGAAAGTGAAAGCTAAACTTATTTGATATAGCTAAATTGGAGGTTGCATGGTTGGATTCTTTGTGTTACTGGACATATTTCACAATCTTTTGGAAGGATTTGAAGGTATAATGTATTGGTATATTAGAAAAGCATATGGATTTGGGTGATAACAAATATAAAAATCCACGTTTATTTCTTTCAAAAACATCAGATAGAAAGGAAAGACACTGATAAATGATTAAACTCATCTTGAGGATTACTTGCTGCCATATTAATGAAGCTGAAACGGAAGTTTTCCAAACAGAGGTTTGTGTGAGGCAGTGGCAGTTCATCTGAAGTGTGAAGAATTTCCTGGCAGAGAAAAATGGAGATAATTACACCACCTTGTGTGACTTTATGTGTCAGATCAATTAAGTCAAAATGGCAGTTTTCATCAAGCTGTGATGGCAACAATGACAACCGAAAGAAGCTAGCTCTGTCTTTGTAGACAAAATTACAACAGAATGGGGAAATTCAAAACCACGGATGTACCATATCAATATTTCAGTATCACTTTATGGGATTGACGCATACTATTATTTTAGATTTTAAAAAGGCTACTCAGAAATTTAAGTAGTTTTACCTGTTTGAAGAGACTTGAGCTTACATGGAAGTCAAGCAGCATGATTTGTTTGTGGTAGGGAATAGAAAAACTGTTCGTGGGGCAAGCGGTAGGCCCAAAAAGGTCAAAGGTAAGATTTGGTTGTCATAGAAACAACAGCATGAACACATACAATGGTGTTTTTATGGAGTCTGACTCATGAATGAACAAATATGTGTGTGTAAGAGTGCTTTCTAAAAATGGCTGTTCTAGAGGATGAAATGTGGAAAAAATGCACTTTTACAAAAACATTATCTGCTATGTTATAAGAATTGCCCACAGGTGTGACTTGAATTCATTGGAATAATGCATTTTTATTCTTTTTTTGAAAAGGCTTTAGGATACACAGATAGTTTTGGTGCAACAAGTGCATAAAGAGTTTACAAATAATTTTTTAAGATTCAGGTTGAAGATTTAGGAAATTGAGATATGTTTTATTGAATGTTTTACATACAATAAGTTAATTTGTTTGTTGTTAATCAATAATTATTTAAACAGGATAACAGTCACTGTTGCTAAAATGACCTATTTGTCAGTGCAAAAGTCACCTTTTTGAAAGTATGGATTACAACCACCTTAAACTTATTGAATATTTTGTATATATATACGGCATAGTTTTCATATATCATTTCTAATAACATTATCAGAAACTTCATGCAACTTTGAATATTTCAGGTCGTACTCAAGCCAAAGAACAGAACATATACTCCCACTTTGGCTATGACAACCCCGGGGTATACTCACATGGCGCCTTCCAGCCTAACCGCCTGCGGCAGACATACCCCAGGGGACGGGTGGGCCCCCCTCCCGTCGGGTATGGTGCTCAGGGAGGGTATGCCCGGCCCAGTTATCTGCTTCAGTCCCATGACAATGTGCCCATGAAACCCAAAGTCATCACTGTGGTAAGATATGGACCACCGGGACCCAGAACTACTGTCAGGATTCTCCTCAACCGTCGCAGTGTCCAGTCTTATGAACAGTTAATGGGGGATATTGCTGAATCTTTCGGATCAAGATGGCGGGGACAGCGCATAGTCAAGTTGTATTCTTTGCGGGGAAAGGAGGTGAATGGTGTTTCGGATTTTTTTCGGGACGATGATGTGTTCATAGCGACGAGTCAAGAGATGATACCGCTCTCAGACGCCCAGGATATAATTGAGGAGTATTATAATGACAGACAATCTGTACAGGATCTTCTGGCAGGATGGCAGAGGCATCATAAGAAAAAGAAACATCGAAATGTGATTACAAAGTATACATATAATAATAATGAGGAGGACTTGAAACGAGACAGTGGAATAGGAGATAGTGACGAAAGTTATAGGGATGACGTTGACAATCAAAAAGTGGATGCTTCTTACACTGATAAAGTGAAGAAGAAGTCACACAATCGCCATGAAAAAGATAATCAAAATAGACAGAAAGAACTTCAATTTAAAGTACAGGAGGAAAAGGCTAAGGCAGCTCAAGACGAACAAGAACGTGCCAGAAAAAGACTTCAAAAACGCATTCAGGATGAGCGTAAAATTGCTGAGGAGGAAAGAAGAAAACAAAATCAGGTATTGTCTAAAAAGAAAGAGGATCCATTCAAAAAGATGGATGCTGAGCGAAGAGAAGCTCAGCGGTTAGAGCGCGAGCGAAAGAAAGCTCAGTTGAAAGAACCAGAGATTCAGGATGATGAAGAGGATGATCCAAAATGGCGGAGGTTAGAGTGGAGCCAGGAAGAAGAAATGGAACGTCATCAGCGGTCGCGTAAAGACAAGAAGACAGAAAGAGCTAGCAGGCAGAGTAAAATTTCACCCCCTGCTGGCGACAAACCTGTTAGTGTTAGCCCCGGGAGAGAAAAACTAACTCCAAAAGTTGACGACAGTTCTAAGAAAACTTACGTCAGCCCTAGTCGAGCCACCCTGACTCCTCGAGTTGACAATGACACTAAGCAGGATGTCAGCCCCTCTCGCAGTAATGTTGAATCAAAAGTAGACCAAAATGAGAGTACTAGACAAAGTAGGCAAAGTGTTCCACTCTCAACCTCAAATAAAACAAAGGAGGACGAGAGAAATGTCAGGGAACCGATTAGTGATGATAGAACTAATAGAGAGATAAATGAGAGTAGAGAACAAGCGAATGCCAGTCCACATAAAGGTGCTTCCTCTCCACAGGTGAAAAAACAGGACAATAAGGAACAAGGTAAAATGGACAGTAAGGAACAAGGTAAAACCAACAATGTTGCAGGAGATGTGGTGAATAATAACCAATCCCCTGTTGTTGCCCCTAGCAGCGAGGCCAAACTCTCCCCCATAGACAATGCTAAAGTAGATGGTGCTGAAATCCAACAAAAACAACAACAGCAACAGCAGCAACAAACAAAAAAGAAATCAAAAAGTAATGTGAAAAAAGGAAGACTTGGTATTCAGCTTCAAAATGCTGATCCTATATTTGAAAAATACGAAGCAGGAAGGACTTTGGGTGATGGCAACTTTGCGATTGTAAAACAGTCAAAACTGATCAAATCAGGTCAGGAACACGCCATGAAGATCATCGACAAGTCAAAGTTGAAGGGGAAGGAACACATGGTGATGAGTGAGATCGAGGTGATGAAGTTATGCAGTCATACCAATATTGTGAAGTTATATGAAGAGTACGAGACTCCAAAGGAAATCTACCTCATCATGGAACTAGTGAAGGTGAGTGGAGAGGGTTAAAGATTTTCAACCGTGAGGAGGGTTTCCTCATTTTGGTATATAATAGAGTGTTACAAATCTTGCTGAAAAATTAAATAAGATGTTGAAATGTTTCCCTGAATGAAGCAGACGAAATATCAACTTATAAACTTTATATCTGAAGCTACTGACAGAAGAAATTTTTTAAGAGGTAGGGAAATGGAAAGAAGGGAAGAATTAATAGCATTAATTTGTGAAATTATAAATATGTCATTGTTTCTGTTTCTAGGGTGGGGATTTATTTGATGCCATCACTCAGAGTGTCAAATTCCCGGAACCTGAGGCAGCCAAGATGGCGACAGATGTAGCCCAAGCATTGTTCTATCTCCATAGCAGACGTATTGTCCACAGAGATTTGAAGCCAGAAAATTTACTGGTGAGTGGATATTAATGTGATTTTTATTTCTGTCCCTTAAATGGTTTTTATTTTATGTTGTCATGTATCCATTTTGAGGTGACTTATTCCCGCAGTTATTTTAAGTTTAAACATTAAGAGTAACGGATGGTGATCATTTGTTACATCTATTGTTGTGGTATTAAGTGGAAAAAGTAAATTTACACCTTTTGAAAAAGTGTTAGCACTTATAATTACAATTGCCAGTTGAGTTTAGTCTGGGTAAATCGAGAAAACTTATTTTCTCAGTTCAGTGAAAGACAGGGAATCCAGAAGTCGCCTCCATGGATATATAATTTAGAAATGACATTTTGAAGATGCACTGAGCACTTGTTTTTCACCATTTCTGCAGGTGATGAGGAATAAAGACAACAGTATCATGCTGAAGTTAGCTGATTTTGGTCTAGCTATGGAGGTGAAAGAACCCATTTATACCGTGTGTGGCACCCCAACTTATGTAGCCCCAGAGATTTTAACAGAGATAGGTAAGAATGGTGGAAAATGATTTACTCATTATATTATTATATTTATTTGTTTCAGTGTATATTTCATAATTACAGTGGCATATGGTTAGAGAACCATTTCACTGCACTAGAGTGACACCTGGTGGACAAGCTATTTAGAATTTCAAAGGCGCCTCCTTGAATGAACTGAATAATATTACGTCCTTTCAGAGATGTTTTGCTTTACATTTAAACTGAAATTAGATCACCCTGCATGGTAAACATTTTTATTCAAACTCAGACTAATATTCTTACTTTATTTTTTGATAACATAGGCTATGGGTTGGAGGTGGATATGTGGGCCCTGGGAGTTATAACCTACATCCTGTTGTGTGGATTTCCGCCTTTTCGCAGTCCCGATCGTAACCAATCAGAACTGTTTGAGTACATCAAGTCTGGCGAGTACGAGTTTCTCAGTCCCTACTGGGATGGAATATCATATGGTATGTGTGCATATATTCAATCTGCAATTTTTTTCTTTGCGATTTCATAGATTCTACAAAGTTCATACCACAACCTTCACATCCTATAGTGTCTATTAATCATTGAATTTTTTTATGTCACAGAAAACATTTGCAAGGTGCAGGCTATGTATGTTTTTCTAATTTTTGGTGATGATTTATCAGAGAACTAAACTTTATTTATTTTTTTATTTATTATTATTATTATTTTATTTTTTTATTTATTTTTTTTTTTTTTTGGAGGTGGGCAAAGGCAATGTTTGAATCCCTCTGAATATGTTTGCTTTAATATTACCATTTCGAAAAATTGAGCACCTTCCAATTTTTTCCAGACAGTGAAAATGTTTCTAGCCTAATTGAAGTATAATTAAAAAGAGAAAAGAAGGATTTTCCTGTTTTCCTTATTCAATTGGTAAATCCAAATTTGTGTTGGGAGTTCATTTGTGACTAACGTTGTTTTTTCATTTCCAGCTGCTAAAGACATGATAGAACACTTGCTGGTGGTCAGTCGCAAGAGTCGCTACACCGCCATCGATGTCCTTACGCACCCTTGGATTGTCACTGTGGGGGGATCCGTGCCAAAACCAGATAACTGGGATGCATATCGCAGGAATCTACGCAAACAGTACGAAGATGAGGCCAAGAGAAATCTGGAGAGTTTTCGTGAAAAGAAGTTGCAGCATCAGTCTTGAGGACTGAAAAATATCCCTGAGGATCTTTTTAAGGACTGAGGATGATACAAAACTCTTATCTGCCATTATGAAAGTTTATGTAGCTTTTTTTTTGTAAGTGGACAAAAGCGCATTGAACTAACCCACCTAGGCTGTTTGCCATTCAGTGTTATGAACTGTGTTCTATACTGTTTGATCTGCTGTAATATTAAACTATGCAATACATGATGACAGTAAGGTGCTTTCATGACCTTTGACATTGTGACCTTTGTCCTTGTGACCCCTGAACTTGTGGCCATGTGATCTTTGAACTTACTGCTTGTTGCTAATGGTTACTGCACACAATGTGGGTTAGCCCCTCAACATAAAAAATAAGTTGCTAAATGACCATACAGAAAAAAAACAGTTTGCTAATTACTTATGTTTTAGTTTGTTTATGGATTGCTTGTCATGTGACTCAGTGTAAATTGACGCAATCGATGTGTTCATATAGACCATTTTTACCCCTACGATGCCAAGTGTTAATCTGCTTGTCAATTTTTGTGTGTAATTTGATGACAGAAGTAAATTTTTTCCTAAGGTTGAGATTGGAGTGTATATTTATTTGCATTGTCATCATTAAGAATTTGTATTAATTATTAATGTAAGATAATATTCTTATACAAATTCTGATTCAAATATTTATGGCAGCAGAGGCTGTGCTTATTTTTCTAGTCCAATATTTGTACATATGAGATAAGTCAAATTGTATATATTCAGAAATGAGATCATTAATTACCCTTTTAGGAATGGGTTTTATTTGCCAAATACTGTGAAAAAACATTTTTGTTTTCTTATTTTGCCTTTAGTGGCAGTTGCCTTGCAAATTTGAGAAAAAATTGAGAATTAATGAAGATTCCTTTGTAGTGTATTGAAAACGATATGATTGGTTCAGTTCAAGGTTTTTGCCCATACTAGTATTACTAAGTATGTTTAACTTTTTATAGTGCCTTCTTATAAATTTACTTCCCAATTACAGGATGCTTACTGGTGAACGAATTTTATTGGCCTTTGTACATGCTATGAGGTTTTATGATTTTCGTATAATTGATGAGCTGTATCCAGACCAGCACTTTCTTATGAAAGTGCATAATAGCTCTTTTTTCAAGGCAGGGCCTTTTTTACTCCTACGTACATCTTTTTAACTTACTGTATTTGTCTCCTTATCCTATACCTTCATGTTTTATATAATTTTTTCTGCAGTTTTATGCCTAACAAACCTAGAAATTTTACTTGAAATGGATGTAATATAAAGTAAATTTTTTTTTTTTTGCCAATTTAAAAAATTTACCATGTTACCAGTTTTTAATTATTGATTAGTTTGTGAATAAGGCTAATTATTTTTACTCTAAGAGTAAGACAAAATGACAAACTTTATTAAATTCAACATGCAACTGTGTTGCAACAAACATTTTTTGATAAGTTAAAAATAATTTTCTGTTCTGGAGCTTATATTATAGACAGTTTTGAAACTTATATGACGTTATTTATACATACTATTATATGTATATGATAAATAATCATGTCGCGAACTCTTTACATGAATAAATGAAAATATAAAACAACCTTTGGTCTTCTTTCTTAATAGATTCTTAAGCTACATCAATATTATTTCGAGCAGTGGAGTTTCTGCAGTGGTGCAATATTACTAGCATTATATTACTACTTGATTTTTCTCAATGGAAATCATTGCGGCTTTGCAGAAACCCTACCCTGAGTGTCAGAGCAATGTAAAAGCTAACTAGCTTAACTATACCTTGTGATGGAGTCGCTTTTACTAGAAACCCATGCAAATGTAAAATTGCTGTAGTTGTGCCCAATACATTGCGTCCGTCGCATTTTTGTTACTGGTAACTGGGTATGTTTTGTTCTCTGTGATCACACGGTGCACTAGTAGTCTATTACAAAATGTTGTAAAGCACAGTTATTTCAGAAGGGGGGGGGGCATTGATATCAGAGAGTAGTATGTTTGCATGGTATCAGTTTCAAATCAAAACTGTATTCATAACAGTATTTTGTTTCTTTTAAAAGTTTAAAGCAATTAAGTTATAATCAGATTTATAAGCTGGGGAGGGCAGGGGGTGCCAGTCCTCACACACATCCACACCCAACATCTTTCTTTAAAAATATATTTGTGGGGATCCTTATAAAAGTGTTAACCTTTCCTTTGCCACTTGCGACGTATAAAAATAAAGAATGTGTAAAATCATCTGCATGGAGAACATCTAGTTAATCCCTCCAAAAAAGAAAAAAAAATATGAAATAAAACATTTATTTTCGGTTTTCTTTTTTTAATAATGATATGACAGTGAAGTAAAAAGGTAATCCCGTTTAAAGAAATGCTCAAGTTTACACAGTATAATTCACATTAGAAGTCAGAGTCAAAGAGATTAATATGTAATATTATGTTCCTCTTTACTCCAGTGATAATTGTAGAGATGTTTGTGCAGTGATAAGTATAAATCAGTCATAAAACATATGTATGTACAGTTTGTGGGCAGATAGACAATAATCGATATTGACGTGATTTTGAGGACTTTGTTGTTGTAAAAACGACTACTGAAAAGTAAAGTGTCTAATTCTCTTCAAAGGTGAAATCAAAGTGGAAATCCCCCACTGGAGTGCCCCACTCGGGCATGCCTTCCTCAGCCTCGATCTCATCTCTGGGCATGCCCAATGCCATCATGCCACCTCCCGCATTTGCTGGCATCTCCATGGCAAACATGCTGCCATCCTCCCCTTCGCTACTGTGGACGTCCCACTGAAGCAAGCCGCTGTCGTCTGCTACCTCGTCGTCTGGCATGTCCCAAGGCACAAGATCACAATTGTTTTCGCCAGTGCCAGGAGTTGGGGTGAGCGCAGCCTCCTGTGTGGTAATGTGAGTTTGGCGCCGGTGCGCCGTAGCTGGAAGGTACCTTATCCTCTCCATGTCCTTCTGGACAGATTCCTGGGAGAATTTAGAGATGAAAGCCAGAAATTAAAAAAAAGTCTGACTTCTGAAACAACGCTCTATTGTTTCCTTCTATTTTGGGGTGAAAATAAAATTGACGATTTCCCTGCAGGTCACTGTATAAGTTTATATTTCTGTTAGATAAATTTTTAGCTACTATACAAGCTTAGACAAATACATTCCATAAGACTAAAATTCGCAAATGGTGACACACGCAATATTCATAAATTACTTATGGGTTCGCAGAACAAGGACTCTTTGTGATGGCATATACATGTATGTATGTGCAAATATGCCTACAAACTAGAAATATGAGATCAATTGATAAAAAAAAATGAGTTTAAAATATCTCAAGTCTACCAAAATTAAAGAACACGTATAAATTTATTACTGCTATAGTGTATACATTATTGAGTATAATCAAGTTCCGGTTATTTCCATAAAATCACCATTTGTGTGTGTATTCATTGTATCTATAAATTGTACCGAGATATAATATAGGAAACAGAGGCGGAGAATTTCTTTTTTTCAACATTGCTTTAGAACACTCAGCTCTTTATTTAATTTAACAATACAAATGCAGGGGATCCAGAGAAAAGAAATTACAATACTAATTTAGGCCTACTACACAGCAATTTACCTTAATCTCCAGGGTTCTCCGTTTGATGTATTCATAACTATGTTGCACACCTAGAAACGCTAGATGCGAAAGGATTATCATTTCAAATAAAATAGAAACTATCACAAAATGCTATCTTTTGTTTACGCTAAATTGCCCTTACTACCTGACGTAATGATGGCATTACGTCACGCCTGGCGAGGATCTATGACATCGTAATACCGTAACGTAACGTCATCAAGGGATTCCCGCCAAAATTGGCATGTGATCGATCAACTTGTATCCAGCGACGTGCGGAGGTCGGTTTGGAGCCCCCCCCCCCCTGCACTAATGGTACAATAAAACAAACAAAAAAATTGATTATAAGAATTCTTTTTATTTAATCTGTTTTTCCTACATAAGTTCTATGCACATTTCATCACATAATATCACAGATGAGAGTAAGGCGAAGATTATGAAACTTTCCCCGTGGAAAATTCATAACTTTTCAATTTTTTTGCATCATACATTTACCACATTTTCTAAACATCATAAAACAACCTCTCTAGGAAAACACTTGCAATTTTATATTCTGTAAATAAGCAATGTTAAAAATTCACAGTAAACACACAAAAAAATAATAATCACACAAAATAAAAATACAATCTCTGACAAAATATTTGTCAGAAGTTGTAATTCATGAAAGATTACTGAATGCCTGAATGCAGTCAGTGCAGTCAGTGTAGAAAAGAAGCATAGATCTACCCTGAATGACTTACTGAAATAACAAAATGCACTCCGTTAAAGTCCACAACGTCCTTAACTAGTATAATAAAAAAGATAATATACTTCAAATGATCACCAGCAATAAAGAAATAGGCACACATGAAGTACAGATATCTCCATAGTAGCTGTGATTACTGATAAATGTTATAAAAAAACTCTGTCCTCCATCTAAAAAGAGTATGTTCTCTTTGTCAGCAGCTACTTGGGTCAAAACATTAAAAAATTATTATTTTATTTCACTAGTATAAATTAAAAGTTTCCTTCATTATCAAATCCCATTAAGAAAAATATGGACTCATGACATAATTAAAATCTTCATGCAAATGTTTGAGTCTTTGTATTACACACACTTGACAAAAATAGACTTAAAGTGATTCAAAGAGTACTGTAACATTGTTCTATCACAGACAGTACAGCTTAGGGAAGTGACTGATAGGAAATATACGCTGTCATTTGGCTCCCTGAGTTTACTATGTACAGAAACCTGATGATAGTATATATATTTTATGCCACAATGATATATACAAATTAACATTAAAGATTAAGAAACAAGAAAAATGACATATGATATTAATTATGGTAAAAATGTGATGCTGCAATTTTAGCGCCCTTTATCATTTTTGCTCCTGAACATCATCTATAATATCTACTTATAAATGTTTACGTCAAACATCATTTATTATATCCAGTTATTATATATATATAAATAAAATTACCATATAGCAAAAATTATGAAATAAAATAAAAATTAATTGTCTATCTATTATATCAAAATGAAAGAATTTATACAAAAAATTCTGAGTAAAACTTACATATAAAATCTTTTACTTAATACCCCTGAAATAAAAACTTTAGGGCACTCTTTAAATTTCCTCTTACAGCCTTTATCAATAAGTAAAAAATTAATGGTTTCAACTTGCAACTTGGACAACAGAGATAAATTTTATTGGTGTGATCACTGGTGTTAAACATTTCTACAAAAAATTCCAAAAATGAAGAAATTCTTTACCTGCACATACTGTTTTATAAAGTCACATAAATACAAAAAAAAATGGAAATACTGATCAAAAAGGTATATGAGGAATGCTTCTGGTATTCAGCTTAAAATTCACATCTTGTATATTTGTGTACAATTTTATTTACATATAAAGAAAATAAAACCTGCATATCAGGACTTTTGCCTTCAATGCCCTCATTACTGTATCCATACCCTGTATTTACCATTAATTTACTGACTCAGTCCTGATATATCTTTATCCTATGATATATTGTTTCATCAAAAATAACTATCATATTTATGGCACATAAAGTCAACAATTCCATATTAGCAACTTAGCAGACCTGCCTGTTTTCACAATTTTAATGCCCCAAACTTCTCAAGGCTACACACATGAGCCCAGGTTAAAAAAAAAAAAAAAACTCTGAAAATTTAAACCCCCCCCCCCCCCCCCCCCCCCCCCAGAGTTTATTATAGAATTGCAGATCTTGATGAATCTCAGGGACCATCAGAATTGAATTTAAAAAAAAAAAAGGAATTTCGCATTTCTGTGGAAAAAGCTCATGTCTTTGCCTACGTCTGTGAATCAGTGTCATTGTTTCTCACCATATACATCATAATCCTATCATAGCTTGGAGGTGGGGCAGGAGCAACATCCTCATATGCAACAGGTACAACATCTTCATAAGCAGGGGGAGGGGCTGTGGGGGGAGGGGGCTCGGAATCAAACACGGAATTAGCAAACGTCACTGTAACAGGGGGAGGAGGGTCAGGGTCATTATTGACTACCTGAGACACTGCATCACTATCGCTGTCAGAGGAACTCACCATGTTGTTTGAAATGGTGGAAACTTGTGTGTTTGAAGATGAGGGAGCTTCGTCAGCATTTGTGGACTTTTGACAACAATCTTGGAAAATAGACGGAATCTGCGGTTTCGGGCAGTTGCAGCGGGGGAGGCGACATCTATGTTCCAGCACATTATTTCTACATCTGTGCACCTTCTCTCGGAACTTTTTGGATATGATATACAGAAATACTACACCAAATACTGCAAAGCCGATCATCAATCCAACTTCGTTAAGATCATCACCACCATTATCCACATTTGAACTTCCACAGGTGTCTGAAAGTGTAAAAAAAAAAAAAGAAAAAACAGTGGCCAGATATTACAGGTATCTTTTTTTTTTATTACACAGAGAATCAATGTTCACATTTTGATTTCCAGATAGGTGATGAATTCCAGTTTGTCTCTACTCATTACTGCAACCTTTTGAATGTAATTTTTCATAAAAGAAAACTAAGAAGTGAGATACTACAGCATAAATAAAAGCAATAAAAAACTTAAATAAGAAAAAATAACTTAGAAAGCTGGCAAAAAAAAAATGTTTACTTTATCTTAATATTATCATTAACATCATAGAGGCTGCAAAATACTCTAAACATGTTCTTCACCATTTAATAAACACCCACCATAAGGGCACTTCTGTCCCACTCTCCCAAAGTAACAGTCAAGTTGCTTGGCACAATAATATGCATTCAACTCTTTGCCACTTTTACTCTGTCTACACCAGCTGCATCCCACCACAGAAAAACAGCCTCTGGAACAGTCACGGATATGCAGACTTTAATAAAATTATTACAATTGAATCTTTTTCTCTGAATTTATATTATGCCTTTTTATATATGTGTCTGTAACCAGTAACTTTAAAGGAGGTTCTTTTTTCGTGAAAATGTGGGCATTTTTGTCATAACAGATCAAAATTTGATTCCAAAGGTACAGTTTCTCAGTCTAAAGGGAAGGTTTGTTTGAAGGCCTCCATCAATGCTTGCACTGTGCCAACACTTACAGCTATTAATGATATATGAAAAAAAATAATAAAAATAAAATAAAGTGTTTGACATTATTTTCTAATTGACAGAAGTCCCTAAGCTTGTCTGCGAACCCAAACGCGGCTCATTTTATCCCCTATAGACCCATATGATGAAAAAACCTACTAGGTGTTTCAAGTTTTGGAACAATTACTGTACTCACCGCTGTGTGCTATTTAGGTGACAACTTAAAGCTTTGCAGTTCGAGAGGGACTTAATGCGTGACGACTCTCCGTGGACCAAATGGGGGATATTGGGGAGAGCCTGAGGGCAGGGCACAGTCATATTTCTGGAAATATAATAAGAAATAGTTTGTGTGCTTTTTAATAATAATAATAATAATAATAATAATAATAATAATAATAATAATAATAATAATAATAATAATAATAACAACAACAAATTATTCCTTACATTTAAATGAAACTAGACCATTTTGCACACAAGATTTTTTCTTTTACTCCATTTCCTGGAAAGAGTTTTTTTCATACTGTGTCTAAACATAAAAAAGGGAAGAATTTTTTACAACAGACAAACAGCAGACTTACTCTGGTGTAGAAAACTCTAGTCTACAGCTGTTGTAGTCACTGGAGTTCTTATAGCACGGGCATTCGCACTCCCTGGCTAATGCTCCACACTGGGAATCATAGGACGGTGAGTCACTAGTCTGAAAACAGAACAGAAAATGACGTACATGTATGTTATACATTTTATCTTATTTATTTACTATATTTCAATTTACTTTGTTATTTTTTCTATTTTGCCATTCTATTTTCTCTTGCATTTCATGTTTAACTCAAAATTTTAGTGGGAATCTGTATATAATGTAAATTGGATTGACAGTGAATTCATATGCAATCTAATCTGTCAAATTGCTAATTGTACACTTAATTGAAAATCAACACAGTCACACAAAGTTTTAAAAAAAGAAAAATTGTCAATAAATGTAACCAGAAAAGCACACAGCAAAAATCTTGTAAAATAACACAGAGAGAGAGAGAGAGAGAGAGAGAGAGAGAGAGAGAGAGAGAGAGAGAGAATGGCCAGTGTTACAGGACTGGCCAAAAGTTACCAGTCTAGATCAGTTCTACTTACACATTTACAGGGTGTGGTGTTCAGCTTCCGTCTTGTGATCACCAGGTAAACGTTACTGTTGGACACTGAGTGGAGCTCATACTGCAGACCAACGGCCATGTTGTCAATTCCACTGCCAGGTACTGCTATAACCTATGAGCATACACACAAAGGACATTTATACATTAAGTGGTATACTCAAGTGACACAGTAAGTGATATACCAGTTAACTATATAAGAGATTCACATCTTAATAGCATGGGTATTCTGTAGAGAGAGCTACCTAAACAGCAGGTGCGGATCCAGAGATATTTTCTGACAGTCTTCCAAATTATCTTTGTTGATCCATCCTCCATTTTTGACCATCTTCAGACTTTAAAAAATTAGATACCAGTCTATGTAAACTTTAAAATCTGACCGTGTTCCAGAAGACCCAGAAGATGGCCTTAATCCACTCCTGGATAGAGCCTATGTGGAGAACTTGTTAAAGGGAGTTTACACTTCTGTAGCATAAGACCTCTCAAAGTACTACTGTTCTCTTTATAAACAATTAACTTTTTTTATCAACATTAAACAAAAAACAATGAAAAATAATTTCATCATTAAGTAAAGATGGTGGACAAATTTAAAAATAAAAATTCAAATCATGCAGTAACACAACAAATTTACTAGATTTTAAAGACACTGACTAATTCAGTGTTTGAAGCAAAGTGAAAAGTGCATGTGTGAAATAATAATAAATTCTAGATAAATACCTTCCAATAGAAGTGTTCCCTCTCTTTCTTATACTCTATGCAGCTCTCTCTCACTAACACCCCCTTTGCTACCAGATCTCTGCCTATAGCTGGTTCCTGAACAATGCATAGTGAATATGTAAAAAGGCTTTATTATACACAATTGGGGGAAATTATTAGACATCTAGCTCACAGACATACATACTTACACCTCATTTTTCTTAAACACGATTATGGCATTTGAATAACATTACAGAAAAAAAAAACAGCTATTTTTATGACCTCACCTTACTGAAAATGTGGACCTTCTCAATATTTGGACTGTCAGACACTTCTACAAAACTATCATGGACGACCAAGTATCCACTGCTGTCTATCACAAAGCACCTGTAATGACATAATCTAGATCTAAAAGGTTTGAAATTACAAATTTGATTTCATGTAGTATCTGCACCTATTGACCAGAGCTTGCATGCACTGAGGCAGGTCACAGGAGAATTTCACCTCCCAAAGTTTGCCAAATTGTGAGATTTTTACCCATTGGGACAGTGCAAAAAATTATTGGTGAGTGTATAAACTAACTATTGGGTGATAAACTTGAAAAAATACAAATGGACACATTCAAGTTCAGTAGTATCTACTGGCATATCTCTGCCAGTTTTGGAGATATTAGGGGTAGAAAATGTACAAAAAGCAATTCATCATGAAAAGTAGATCAGGGTCAATTTCAAGGTCATAGATTGCCAGTTCATGACTTCCTATTCAAGTTCAACAGTAACTATGGGCGTATCTCTTCCAGTTTTGCAGATATAAGGGACAAAAAAATTTACAAAAAAAACAGTTCATCATAAAAAGTAGGTCAAAGATCACTTTCAAAGTCACAGTCAGATTGACAGTACACGACTTCCTATTCAAGTTCAGTGGGAACTATGGTTGTATCTCTGCTAATTATTTCACACATTTTTTACCACTGGATATTGTAATGTTGAACTTTTTTATATAGTGCAACCTGTAAACCATATGGAAAACAAAAAATGGACACCACCGATAGTGTTGCCCTTGACAAGCTCTATAAAGTGCAAAAAACAAGAAATCTCTAGCATTAACGGTTCCAGAATTGGAGAGTTTTCAGTTTGGCACCTAATGGCTGCTTCTCCCATGAAAATGCACTGATTGACCCCAAACTCATGAAGATGAATGATGACCATAAGTGTAACACTTGACCATAATATTGTAGGCTAGGTCTGCATGTGTAGTTTCTGAAATCAGTGCAAATATTTTTTTTGCAAAAATTTTCCCATCTTTTAGAAAATTTTGGCCCGTTTGACCTTGAGTGCAGTGACAAAACCAGAAATTCACATGGATCGAGTTGAGATTTTTCCTACATACAAGAGATGGATACATGGGCTCTTGTAGTCTAGGAGGAGAAGCAGTAATGGTGACATGGCAGCTGATGATACCAGTCAGGACTAAAACCATGTATACCACCAGCATCGCGCTGAATTTTTGGGGAAAATGTAAGCCACCTTGTTGATTTTGACATTCAGATAAATGCACTAATACTGCGGCATATTCATAATAAAAATTCCAAGTAGTCTCAAATGCAAGTAGTGTGAGTGTGTATGTACATGTACATAAACACTTAATCATTGTGGAACAGAAACAGATTATAGCAAATCATCCTTGTCTGTCAGGAAAATGATCTTATTTCTGAACACTGATGCTCATTGAGGACATGTGGCAGTTTTCTGTCACAATGTGGGTGCCCAATGGTATATATTGCATGTATGTACTCATCCTTTATTTTCTCAATGCTCATGTATCATTGGATGTTACAAATGTCTTAACTTGGAAGCCAATTTATTACAACCAATTGTTCTGTTCAGTATGTGATTGTACGAGATTGACTGCTCTCTTGCGAAAAAGAAGTTCTTTGATTGGACAACTGAATAAAGTGATGGCAGACATTCATGAGTTGTGCTGAGATCTTGCAGGGTATTTAGTAACAGCACCAGAAGGCAAAGCCTCATTTGATAGGGTGGTAATACCCATGCAATTTTTGTTTAATCAAAGAATTTACAAGCCTGAAGATAGCACAAGAGCAAACCATGCTAAATGATTATAACAAGACATATCTGGAATCCACTGAAGGCTTTTCTCTCATCAATGAGTCAGGCTTTCAAACAGAACTTCTACAGAATGGCACACAAACTTTTTCTATGGAAAGTGTCTCAGTTCCACTCCGTGTTTTTATTCTCACACTGAAGGGAATCTTTGTAATTTTGGGAGCCGTGGGCAACACATCCATTGTGGCGGCCATACTGCAAATGCCAAAGTTCCACAAGTCTGCTTACTACATCCTAATCTGCAGTCTCACCTTCAACAACGCCATGGTATCCTTCCTGGAGACATTTCCACAAGTTCTGGCATTTACCATTCCAGACTGGGACATAGGAGAGAGACTCTGTACCTTCTCCTTCTATGTAAAGCTGCCCCTGCTCACGACGTCTGCTTTACTATTGGCTCTAATTGGATTTCAGCGTTGTATCCTAATTTCCAGCAAACCAGGTGATGCATTGGCAAATAAATTAAAATTGCCAAAATACATAGGGGGACTTATTGCTTTGGCATGGTTGTTACCCATGCTTTTTATAATTCAAACAACTTTTGTGTGCAGGGGAAAGGTTATACTTTATAACCCAGAAAGCCTATTATGTATGTATGATATCAGGAAAAAGCCCTGTCATTCAATGGCCATCTTTATGGCCTTACATGTAGCAGCATCAGTCATCATGTTGGTTTGTGATTGTGCAATTGTCTATAAGATGAAAAGATTGAAGGCAATAGTTGCTTCAGCAACTTCCACAGAGAACTTGCCACCGCAGCAGCAGCAGCAGTCATTTCTTGCTAAAACTGAACTTCAGCTTACCAAAACCATGTTTCTCTTGATGCTGAACAGCTTTCTTTGCAACCTTGCTCCAAGTTTTGTGTCGAGCCTCATATCCATTGGTCCGGAAGCGTATATTGTTGCCTCATCACTTTTTCAGCTCGCGCGATCAGTGGACCCCATCATATTGTATGGCAAAAACACAGCACTCAGAGAAGCAATTCACGCAATGTTTAAATCTTGTTTCTGCAAAGCATGATTGTCTTAAAAATAAGCCCAATAGGCTATGTAAAGACCATTGGCAAATCTGAAACTTTGCCAGGGATGTAATCTTGAAGCTTTATCAAGAGGTACGTAACTAATGTGTTTCATGATCAAACATAAGAAGTGTTGGAAAGGTGAGAATCAATTGAGAGATCAAATTATGATTACCTAGTTTATTTTTATTATCATTAGTTATAATGTTCTTGTTAATCAGTTATTCCTTATTAATTCAGATCACAATTCATCCAGTGCACATTACAATATCCATCTATTGTAAAAGTGCACATGCACTGTTATTTTGTCATTTACTATGTTATTTCCATTAGGTAATTCTCCCAATCTGGGGTTTTCTCTCCTATTGTATTTATGTGTCACATTATAACCATTACCACTGTTATCAAATTCACTGAAGAAAGCCAACCAATGTTTAAAGTGTACAATCTCTTTGTTAACTGTCAGATTGTTTTAATATTAAAATATTGTAAGGACTAGGTGATAAAATGCATGCAGTAATCATTGATAGATAAATGAAGAACATGTAATTATCAATATACATATTGTGGCGAGTTCAAAAATGCCATAATCTGCTCTTCTAAAGAACATATGGACTCTACAGAGCAGGGTCAGTGACCCTAAGTCAGGCAGTTATGCAGCAATTTAAAACAACATGTACTGGAAAAGCAGTGTGGTCAGTCTTCAATGTCCAGATCCAGTGTGTCATTCAATATTCCCATCAAACTTAACATATGGATATTGTACTACTTCTCTAATGTAATGCTTTACTTGTTTACTATTCTTTTTATAACAAATTGTAAAATTAGTTTTTTTTAACAGAGGCTGTAAAACATGCTGGATTCGGACAAAATGTAACTGTAGAACATCGTGTGTTCAAATTATATCATATACTTCTATGTTATACTGTATATTAAAGAGCCACTTGGATTGGATTTTTTATTCCATTTTTACTTCAATTTTTATGTACAGACACAGATGTGCTGTCACCTGTGTCTGCCATCACCGAGCCCTTTCAATGATAACATGATTAGTGAAAAACCGTTTTACCTTTTGCTTTTAAACTTAAGAACTGATTAACAATCATCAAATACAGGTAGAGTTCAAAAATCAGCTTGATCAGACTATTTTTACAAATTAAAGTTACCTTTTTTCCCTTTTTTCAGCATATGTGCAACACTGATAACACATCAAGAAAAACCAATAGGCCTATTGTCTTGAAACTCATAGGAGTGATCAATCTCACTGTTATACAGATCAAGTTCAAAAATTAGCTTATCGGTTCAGTAAAGTTATGCCTTTTTTTGTATATAAGTGTTTTTTCCTCAATTTTCATTCTTAGGCATGGTAACAGTCTCATTATTGAACTAATTAGATAAATAAAAGTGTCCTTTCAACATTTTCTGCATCTTAACAACATTGTTAGTTAATTTTGTAAAAATGATGGCAAACTTGTTATTGTGTATTGTGTAATAAACTATCAAAAATGAAAAACTCATATCATTGCAGTTTGTCAGATTCAATCATTCACTATATTCAGAATCTCAGAATGGAGCAAAATTGTTCTGTTGATATGTTCCCACCTCAACAATTTTTTCAGTTGATCATATAAAGAAGACAGTAAATTGATTGTTTTGTTTTATGTAAAGTGTTGAAAATGTAAAGAAACACATTTCAGTAAAGTTATCTCTTGAGTGCATATTGGCATTTTCAAGGTGTTACATAAAAATTTCATTGACCTGAAGATCTTTACTAGTCACATTTTAAAAATATCCATGTTACCTGCAGTGCATTAATAAAGATTGGTGGTGATGATACTGGATAAGCATTATGTAATGTTGCATCAAAATTGAAGAAAACCCTACTTTGGGCAATTCAGCTGGAAAACAAGTCTGAAGCAGTGAAGGGTTGATTTTTCTGGAAATTATACCTTTTTTTTTGTGAAAATTTCATTTTTCCCATATTGGCACTTTCAAGGTATGTCTTTGGGCCTCCATGGGCTTGAAGACACATTTCCTGAATACCCATGACACATATTTTATTATTAAAAATTGATGGTCATTATGCTGAAATGTAACATTGCATAAAAGATAAAGAAAGCCCTTTTTTGGACATTGCTGCCAGGATGACCATAGAGGGAAAACTATGTTACTTATGATTCTCAAACTTACAGAAAAGAAACATAGGACTAAAATGCACCATGAGCTATCTAATTGGCTTCTTTTTCTGGAAGTAATACATTTTTGTGAAATTTTCATTTTTCACATATTGGCATTTTCAAAATGGGATTTAGAACTTCCATGGGCATGAAGCCCAATGATAATCAAATTTTCTAAATGTTCATCTTATTAATTGTAGATAATTAAAAATTGGTGGTAATTTTACCACTAATCATCATGTTATATTGCATCAAAATTGACAAAAACCTACAATGTGCACTGCTACCACAAACGTTACTGGGTTACTTCTAATTTTTTTAACTTACAAGAATGATTCTTAGGATTGACATACAGCTCAAATTAGAAAACCAGCTTTATCTTTTTTCTTGAGTTTTTGAGAAATTTTCATTTTTCTAATTCTGGCATTTTCAAAGTGTGGACTTGACCTCTCATGGGCCTGAAGCCTTATGCTTGTTACACATTTTACTTACACTGGTATTACCTGTTGTGCATAATCAATATTTGATGATAACTTTGCAGTAAAGTATGATGTATTATTGCATCAGAATTGACAGTAGCCTATTTTGTGCATTACTATTTTCTGCTTTTCATCTGTACATTTTTCAGCTTTGCTGCCTTGTTTAGTTTTAAATGACTGGCCTGTTAAATTAACAGCATCTGCCGTCAAACACGTTTCGCATTTTCACAAAAGAAAATGGCAGGGTGTTTTGTATTGCAATTGTGTGCAGTGTATAATACAGATCTTGCAAGCTGGGTAATCAGTGTACACAAGGTATGCTTCTGATAAACTTTTATCTTATAGGGGTTTTATTGTCTTTTGAATCTAAATTGGGAAATATAAAAAGCTTTGCAGGAAATGAATATAACTGTTAGGGATTTTCAACCACATGGAGAGTACATGGAAAAATCCTGTGGAGTGGTCCTTAAATAAACTTTATTTAATCACTAGTAAACACTCAAATATCCCCTGCTTCATTAGTCTTTAGCTTACTTGTCCAACTTTCATTTCAAACATGGATAATTTACAGACACCATGCAATTAGTCCAGTTATGTTTGTCTGAGTAGATTATCAATGGATATGAAGAATTAAGCCACGTAATGGTGTAAACAATCTGACATTACTTTTTTTTTTGACAGGTTTATATGAATGGCTTTGAAATGTGATTCAAATAATAGAAACTTGTGGTGTATCTCAACTAATATCACCAATTATTCCCCTGAATAAATGAAAATAAATTTTTAATTCACGTACGTAATATTCATTTTGTACTTTAGTACTTGTTATTAAAAGAAATAGAAGCTTAATTCAAAGAAAAAAATGAAAATATTACAACATGTACTAATGAAGGAAATATTGATGATGCGGTACAGGGTGGTTGTCAGCTAATTGAAAGTGCACATTATTTTCCCAGTACATGTAACTATACCAACGTTCCAACTGCCAAAAAAAAAAAAAAAAAAAAAAAAAAAAAAATGCATGATTTGAAAGGGACTGTTATGATGCAACATGCAAAGTCCCTAAATCATTAAAATTCTTCAAAAATTCAAAATCTCAGGAGCACTTAGCATATTATATACAAGAACGGAAAGAATATGAAAATTTTTGTGGAAGAAACAGGTGGCATTTAAGGTACAGTTATATGATAAATTACAAGAAGCATTGAAAGAAAAAAACAGTAAGACCTTCTGGAATCTAATTTTAAAAAATTCTATTACTAACATTACAAAAGAACAATGGCATCAAACTTTTAGTGAAATATATAATACATCTAGAGAAACAGAAGATGAAGGGTTTAAAGAATTCCATTCATATGCTGTAGACTATATAAAAGAGTATGAAAATTCATCAAATCAAGACCAGGAAGATCCTGATATAAATAAGAAAATAGTTTTAAACGAAGTGCAGATAAATGTAAAGGATATGAAGACTGGAAAAGCTGCGGGCTCTGAAAGTAATATGCTTGTTTTCTTACTTTCTGTCTTTGACAGACTGGGTGAGAATTATGAAAAGTTAGATTGAGGAAACAAATTATTCTCAGAGATTTTGATATCACTATTAATAATAACACTTGATTTCACAGTCCATGACCTGTGTACGTTATGCAATTTTTCTGTCAGTAAGTCCAGACTGCATACTATGCCTGGAAAGGAGCTTACTGATACTGACTGGGTTTATGACCATCAAAGTACCCAAATTAGGTTTTAGTGCTGCATCTAATTATTCAATAATGCTCTTTGCTGATTAAAAACAAGGAAATCTCCTTGTTTATCTTTCGCATTTCTAAGAATAAGCTTAAAGCACCTCTGAGTGCATATCATCATTTTGAAAGCTTTCTATTTTGAGATGAGGGTATTGTACCACCAGCTGGAGTAAGCGCATTTGTATGGAAAACAAAAAGGGGACACCACCTCCAGTGTTGTGCTTGACAAGCTCTACAAAATGCAGTAAATAAGAGTTCCCATTTTTTTGTAGAAAGATTAAAAGGACCCGAAGTTTGTAATATGCCTTTTCTTATGTTTTATGGGTTTAAAAAAAAATATTTTTTATGTTAGCACTGCCAATGTTACATTTTAAATGGAGTTCGGTTACTTTGTTTGTTGATAGTTTACTGTCAAGCTTTACGGAAAAGCCAGATCTCAGTCAGTCAAACATGGATTGATAAGATATCTCAAGTTCTGCAGCATCAGAAGTATCCTAACCTCATATACACATCTACAAGTAATATTTAGTCAGACAGGTGGTTGTGTGGAGCCTCTTAAACAACAAATTATTGCAAAGCAATCTCAACTTTTAAAGTTTACGTCTTTTATTTCTAAAAACGCTGACTTCCCATTTGCTATAAAGAAAAAGTTATGGAAGCAGCATTAATGTCGTCTGTTCTGTATGGGTACGAGTGCTGGCTAGGCTTAAGTTTTAAGGCAGCATAGTCGTCCTCCTTCGCAATTATCAAAACATTACTGAGCGTCAGACAGAGCACTGCTTATGACAATTCTAGCCAACCTAGGCATACCCGAACTGAGAGCAAGGGTAAGCGATGCACACAAATCGTTTATGGTAAAGATCTTCATTCACGACCTGGTATGGTAGACGACCCTTTTATGCATGTGTGATAGATGTCTAGGGACAGCGGTGCCAGGGGAGCCTGGTATCTGATTCAATTACTTAATTCTAACAACATTAAAGAGGCAAATATAGCCGAAGTAAAAAAAATCAAATCTGAAATTCAACTATAACTAAATTAGTCACATATTGTAGGAAGAATCCTTATATGTACTAATTTAACAATCTTAGTGAACGAGACAGGATAGCTTTTTCTTGATTGCGGCTGAGTGCCCATAGTTTAGCTACAGAAACGTGGAGAATGGTCACGCCGTCCAAGAAATACATGACTTTGTAAATGTGGAACTAATGAACATTGTGTTCAGATGGAAGAACATGTGATCTGTAATTGCCTAAGATGTGACTGCAACAGATTGGACTTTTCAAACAATACGGCTTTCTTTACCAATACGGGTGACATTTGTGCAACGGCTAATTATGTTTACAGAAGTTTGATGTTGTCGAGTCATTGACTGCATATGTGACTTGCTTCTTGTTTTCGTTGTTAGTGTATCTATAAATATATTTCAATATTGTATTCTGCTCACAGTTGGTAAAATAAAAATCAATCTATCTAGGAATCTGGCTTGAAGCTGAATGCCCATGTTATGCAACATCCATCAGATAAATGTGGAAAAGTAATTATAATTGACCATTTTTTATCAGTTTCCATCAGAATATATATTAGGTAATAAAGAAAAAATTTGACTAAAAACAAAGTAAAACTGACAGTCACAGAAATATTGGAGGTAATACCCACATATTTTACAAGCTCTTGATAAAAAGAAAAACAATAATTTAAATTGATACATATAGAGCTAATGAAACTGTTCTCTCAAAGTAAAACTTAAATTAATTTCACAAAAAAAAAAAAAAAAAATGCCAGAGAGAGAGAGAGAGAGAGAGGGAAATACAAACACTGCATGAGACAAGTTTTCAGGCAATACCTGTAGGAAGACAGGCTGCAATATGTGTAGTTGTCCTGTATGGCCTGGTAGAGGTAATACAGTGTGAAATCTGCCTTCATCACAGCCACTATATTGTCACTGGGAGTGTGTTGCCTGTCAGCTCTGGTATGAAAATCACAAAATAATAATAATAATAATAATAATAATAATAATAATAATGTCAGAAAAAATTGATAACTTAAGTTGGTTAACAAGTGTGACCAACCCTAATTTAAAAAAAAAAATAAATAAATAAATAAAAAAAAACGTTTTTCATACATATGCATTTTTTTTCAAATGGAAAATATGTAGTGGGAGAAAATTTTACAACTGACCCTAGGAAAACCCTATTAGAAAAGCTGTTGTATTTATGTTCAAAATGGCCAACACCATGGAACTGATTTCTTCTCCCAAAAACAACACCAACTGACTGCTATGCCCATTACACATTATAAAAATGCATGCCATAATACAGATATAACTTACTTTGCCTCATATAAAGTCCTGCTCAGTGTTATCATATAGCCAGAACCCCAAGGATCCAAATACGGTGCAGACACCACATTTTTACCTTTGTCCACCAAGCTCCTCTGGAACCTAAAGTGAACCATGGACTCATTATTATGTACTAGCAAATGATAGATCACACAAATTACTGAACAAAAAATAGTTAGAATTTTTTTGTTCACCAAAATGTCACAGATCCTTATTTTGCCAAAATACATATAAAACTATGAGTCCCATCCTTTGCCTCTTAATAATGACAAACTATATATATGTAAACTGAGATAATCATCACAAAATAACAAATTAATACACCAAAAGCCAGACCAAGTATTAACTTGGAGGGCAAAAATTTTATCCAACTTAAATTAAGGAAAATCTGTAGTAAAAGTAACTATTAGCCTTAAACAGAAACCGCCTTTTTATAAAACAGGGACTACATTTCATTTTACTGGACTATGGTTTTGTATTGTGAGTATCAAAATAGACTAGCACCTTTTGTCTTTAAGTTAAAGCCAACCCACAGTGTAGAGTTCCCCTGGACAGACGGACCCAAGGGACCTACTGAAGCTGCTAGTGGGTAATTAATTATTGTTTAGCAGCTTCAGTAGGCGTGCTTAAGCTGAAAGCAATTTAGCAAAATACCTCTTGGAGATAGATCGATTCTGTTAGATTAATCTAGGCATGGAAACCCAGTCTAAGACTCACCAATCAGTCCTGGTGTGGTCATAACTCTTAGCCAGCTGTGTCCCAGGGAATACTCTGACTACACCGTCCATGGTGCCTATAGACCTCCAGGTTATGTAGTCCGCATGTTTCTTCCTCCAGATGACTTCTGCTTTGTAAGTGGCTGCCACACTGCCCAGGACTGAGTTCTAGAAGGAGATAGTTCAGAGTGCTATATTATGTGTATACCACATTTTCTAAGTATATAATTAAAGACCATTTCAGTTCTGGAAAACCATTTCAACATCAGTTCTTCAAACAAATAGTGGAGAATAAAAACCATTCCTTTGTGAGACACAATTCCCTTAGCAAAATATCAGGCCTGCTGCAAAGTCACAGCAAATTTGCTACAATATTGCTGCAAACTGCAATTCCTCCTTGCAAATTAGCAGTAAGATTATTTTTCTTGCTAGCTCCTGCAAACTAGTTGCTGCAATAACAAAGATCTGTACATGTTAGCCTCCATCTGTGAATATTTCCCTGATCATATGTATACATATATATTACCTACTTGATATTAACACTAGCTGACACTCTGCACCAGTACAGTGCCAGAATAGTTCTAGAGTCTAGGAAGCGTTTGTGTGAACATGTACAGGGATCTCAAAACTGAAAAATAAAATAAGGAAAACTGACCTTGAAGCCAGGATTTTGTGAGCTCTGTCCTGTGAGATATCTCTCATATTGTGTGACATTGGTGGCTGTTTCCTCAGTGTTCAGATAGTGATATGGCTGCCTGAAGGCCCCTGGGGTGAGCATCACTGACGTAGTGTCTGTAATATGAACAATATCACATATTGTAGAGAATTACAGAGATAATTATACATTATCACATATAGAACCAGCATCTACATTTTCTTTAATCGACATGCTGCCAGTTTACTATCATACAAATGTGTTTGGTACAAAAATTATCACAAACTTGTGATTGCATTCTTTAAAATGTTTTCATTGACTGAAAGCTAAGAAAAAATCATTTAAAATTAGAAAAAGATACAAAATGAAAATCTCTCACCTTTGGTTGCATACTTAAAGAAGTGCTTGCATGGGATGGAAGCCGACTTCAGGTCAAGTCTGTGGTACCTAAATATAGATGGCAGCACAGTAGGAGGGGAGATTTCTGTATTCTTGCTACCATCTGATATCACCACACACACAGACCAGGTACTGCCTGCAACCTGGAGGGAAACAGAAAATCAAAGTCCTGGGCTCTCTCTCTCTCTAGAATAAAACTTATTTTAAACAACTTGTTATTTCATTGTTTTTTTTTAATTTTATTTCTTCAATAAGTTTTCTGTATTCTGTATATGTCATGGAATAAAAAAATTAATAAATGATAAAATTTGTAGAAAAAAGTTAACTGAAATGTTTAGCATTTGTTTAGTCAAGATAACAAAACGAGGGAGAACCTAAACAGTTTGTTCCTTGGCTGGGAGAAAAAATAAAAGACAATCTGGATCGCTTATAAGTTCTAACAGTTTAATTTACTACAGACTGGCCGATATTTTACTTATATATTGAACTTATTTAAATAACTACTATCCACATCTCTTCAATATGTTGCTCAATGCCACAAGTTTTCAACTATATCTCTGCAGGTTACTTCTTGCTATATGCAGGTATATACAAATGTTTAATTTATTAACAATCAGAGATTTTATTTGAAGCTGAAATCTTACTGGTGCCCAGTAGTAATGTGACATGACATTTGTTATGCTGACACCTTCTCTGAACACATCTCCTCTGGCCTGTGTTCTGGTGGAAACAAAGCTGCTGTTACCCTCCTCACCCCTAAGAAGAAAAATAATGTTTCAAGAAGGCTCTCTCACATATCAGTGCGTTTTTAATAACAGCGACTAATGATAAAAATATTACAAGCAATAAAATATGTAATTCATCCTTGAATTGTTGTTATTTTGCTTGAAGCTTTACAAATATGTCAACAAAACTTATATGTCTGCGAGACATATGTTAAAAAAATTTGTTAAATTTTCCTTTCAACAGAAAATGGTACTTTATCAAAATGGAAACATCTTTGTGGACCAGCCTGTGTTTTGTCCATGAAATAATAAAAATGTCTACTACTAACCTGATCATGGAGCTAATCACTGATTTCGCAGCAGGTGCCCTCTCCAAATGATGAATATCCACAAAGATGGGATCATCTGGGTCATCATAGGGTCTTGGCAGCAGAGGGTGGGAATATGTCCTGCCATAGCCATTGATAACAAAGGCATAGCTCAGTTCACCCTTGTCAAAGTAGGTGGCTTCAGAGAGGAGTTCACTCATGGCAACATCAGAGCAAGCTACACCAATCAGTCGGCCACTGTGGTATGCAGGCAAGCAGATGGAGGTGATGAGACCTGGAAATATTTACAAACAAGCTAACAGCAATGATTTTAAATAGGAAGCAATTTATAGCCAAACAAATATAAAGCTAAAGAACTTTTGTAAAGGACCTGTAAGGAAAGTGACATCATGAAAATACACATCCAACAAAGCACAACAAAATGCACACATAAAACACAGAAATAGTTGCCACATATACACTAGACCAAAAAAGTTTAGAAACATGAAATTGTTATTCAATAATAAAAAAAAGTCTGAAATGTAGTGGAAAAATCTTCAGTGAAACAAAGAAATGAATGGTGGGATGCATTATTCATCAATATTTGTTTAATATATTTACCTTAACTCATAATATTATGGTTATTTTATTAATATCCAAAATAACAATGTTTCCTGTTGGCCTAGTGTAGTTGACTCATAAAACAGTGGATCAAACTAAAAGTTGTTGTAAGTAGTTTCTATCAACTTCTTTGAACAAATCGGTGACAAAGTGAGTAGAGATCACAATAATAGCATCAAAACCTTTAATTCTAATCAATTGTAATAATCAAACTGTAACATCTGACAAAAATTATATAATATATAAATTTTTTAAGTGACCCTTGCCATATGGAAAAAAAGCCACACTAGTATATGACAGTTATAGGACTAGGGGACCGAAAATGAGCTTACCTTTATCCAATATATCCCTATGTGGGGCAGAGATCTCTGGATTACTGACACCCTGACTGGGAGAGAGGAAGAATTTATAGTATGTTGCCATAGCAACAGAGAGATCATCTGGGTTCTCTACTTTGGTGAACGTCCCCATCTGAAATTATGACAACAAGCACTGTATTAACAATAATTGTATTACAATGGCATTGGGAGCTATACTGATAAAATGCGTGTTATAATTTCAATTATCTATTTAACTTATTATTTGGTACATCTTAATGACTATGACCTAACATATTATATATTCTATAGTTATTTTACTAATTTAAAAACTATAATAACAATTTTAGAAAATGAGATTGATACTCAGACACTATTATTATTATTCTCCAGGTAGAGTCAACCACTATGTGGGACTATGTAGTAACAGGTTGAGCGTATCTTTTCTCTAATTGCTACATATAATCTTCATCATAATAAAATGTTTTATTTTCCAAGTTGGACCCATAAAATTAATGCATAAATCAGTAATATTCAGCACAATGTCTTCCAGGCTATAAACAAATAAAGTAATGGGAATCAAATCTTTCAATAAAGATTTCATTAAATACATTTTCAAATTTCTCTCACCTTGACTTCTCCAGCAGACATCCTGCTTTGCGTCTGGGCGGCCATATTTTGAAGTGTCGTCTGCACACTACCAGTGACAGCTACAGAACAAAATCTCCAGAACATTATGCAATTCACTTGTAGGAATAGGTCATTTCAATCTAAAATGATGTTTGTTGTGCTAAAATATCAAAATTAGTTTCTTAAAAACTGGAGCAGTACAAAATATTCCAATGTATCTTAAATATCATTATAAAATAGTAATTTAACTTTTATTGTTTGTCAAATAATGAAGAGATGCTTTGAGCATGTGCAAGCAAATCATTCATCTACTTTAATATTAATCCACAGTAGTCCACTGAAACAAAGTACAAGTAACTATTGGTCTATAATACTAGCCATGTCTGCCCATAAAACAAAACATATACTATACAGCACAATATACAATTTTTTAATATTTATTACTGGCTAATTTTTAGTCAAATTAAGTTAAGAATGAATTTTAAGATAAAAATACAAGTTTTCAGTCTTATATATTGTACTGACTTAAAGCACACCTTTGAGATAAGTCCAATTTTCTGTGACCATGATAAAACCAGACCCAAGAAATTTCACTCCTATGCTACTTACATTTTCCCAGACCAAATGTGAGGACTAAAACTTTCTCCTCCAGAGCAGCATTTTCATCCCTTATAGTGCTGACTGGATCACTGCCTTCACTGCTGCCACCTGCTGCCAGAAATAGTACCACCTGATCTGAAAATTAAATAAAAAATGTTCATTTTTTAATTTAAATGCATCAACAGACCTTAAAAATCAGTCAGGTTCAATAACAAATTTAACCTGTGTTAATACATTCAGGCTTTTCATAATCAAACAAAAAACAGGATAAATATAACCCAGGATAAATATAATTTGCTAAATATGTAAAATTGACTAAGGTGAAAGACTGAAAAAGAAAAAAGATAGGCAGTCTTTTTTTAATCACTGTAAAACAGAACTCATTAAAGATGGACATAAGTCCTTTCAAAGACTTATAATGAAATAAGACATTTCATAAACCAGTCCCAGAATCCTCTAAGTATCAACATTTTTACCTCTAACAGTTCCATTTGAACTTCTGAAGAAAGAAAAAGCCTTTTTCAGCCCAGCTTCATAATTTCTTCCTCCCATGGCCCTGAGACTGTCCAAGTATTTCTTCAAGTTTTGAATGTTTGACGGCGTGGCTGCAGCTAAAGTGGTGGTATAACAGGTGCTCTCTGCCAGCACTGGGGTAGAGGCAGAGGAGGCCAATGACACCAGACCAATCTGTAGAACAAAGTGTCATTTTAGCTATTGTTTATTCACAATTGAGCCCCACGACCATTTGACAATGTACAAACCTTCAAAGTCCTTTGCTAATGAATATGATCATAACTTTTAAAAATGGGATCTGCTTTAATATGATGTTGAGACACCTCCTTTCTTCTCAGGATTAAAAATCTAAAACTCTTTCCTATTTACTATTAGCTGTATAAATGAATGAAGTGTGGAAAAATATAAACTTATAGTTTAAACTTCAGATATTATCTAATTCAATAATTGTGGATGTTCTTCACAGCTGAAAAAAAAAGGCATCACATTTTTATGGAAAAAACAGGTTTCTTTGGAAAGATAAAGTCTTGGAAATTTTAATCTTTTGAACAAACACAGCCCAAAGAGTCCTAAGACACCCCACCTGATCGTTGGGACCCAGGGAATCAAGAACAGTTCTTGCAGCCTGCTTAGCTAACTCCATCAAGGTCTTGCCATTGTGCAAAGTTCTCATTGAGTCTGATGTATCCAGGACCAACACAACATCTTTTGGCACGGGAGACACTGCAGATGCATAGAAAGACCTGAAAGGTACAAGTGAGCAAAATTAAAAGGAGACTCTATGTTAAGAATTAATCTCTAGCTGGTAATTGCTATTCTATTTAATCCTTACACTGTTAGATATATGTACCTCTGAAGTCCTATATTAAGTTACTTACCTGAACCTAGGATCATAACTATCACAGTCAGGCACACCTGTGGGTTTCACTGCAGGATAATTAAGAAGTATACCATCTTCTCCTCCAAAGTACTGCCACTTCAGATTTGGATTGATGCGGACGTTTTCCTTCATCACTTCAACAATCCTTGCCGTAGGGAATTTTTTATTGACTGAACTCTGGCCTGCTTCTGCCACACAGGCCTTGTCAAAGTTTACCTGTAAATTATTCATATTATAATTACTGGCAATATATATCACCTGTGAATAAATATGGGTGGGATGTAGAAGAAAAAAATATTAAAACAGTACTTCCATTAGATTTCTTTTATCATCTGTGAATTTAGCTTGTCATCTATACTGTTCCAGTGAAACTATGTAAAAAAAAAAGTTTACACTCACTGGTTAAATAATTATGCAATTCTAAACGTATATGTCAATAAGCAACTTTCTTCTGTTAGTATCTACATTCTGGAATGGTCCTATCAAAAAAAGGAGAGAAAGAGAGAGAACGAGAGGTAAAAGATATTTCCACATACCTCTGATTTATATCTAGGGTCATCATTGGTATTTGTAACCTCACAACACTGTGTATATTGGTTCTCCCCAGAGAAAGACGAGTACTGCTCTTCTATTACATTTACCAGGCCCTTCAATGCTGCTTCGGCTCCTTGGATCTGGGCACTAATTGAATTTGCAAGCTGTAACATGTAAGCAATAAATATATTGTAGTACATGCATGAATATAATTCTTTTCCACTTAGTCAAGGGGACAAAGTTTAAGATTTTAAAAGGAAAACTAAGTACTTAGCCCACTTCTTGTTGAACTTATCTGAGGACTTTCTGATTACATTTTAACAGATAAATGCCACAAAACGACGTGGCAAAAAAAAAAATCAATTTTGACCCCTCGTAACACACCTTGCCACCTGTCAACCACCTTGAATCAAGTGCAACCCAGAAGTCAGTGCTTTAAGTTTTGAAGTTGTCTTTTATTATTTATCTTTTAATAACTCACCTGTTTAGAGATGCCAGCTCCATCTAAAGGACTGTTTGTGTACTCTAGAGCATCATACTCTGCCTGGAAAGACACAGCCAAGTTATTACAAAAGCAAAGAACAGCAGAACATTTTTTAAACATACAGGTTGCTGTAAAATGGATAAAATTCAAGAGATGTAAAAATATTGATGCATATTAGAATATTCAAATAATACCCCAATTCCTTCCTCACATCAGCAGTTTTATAAACTGATCCATATCAACTACAAGGGCTGAAATGTAATTTAGAAAATGTCCGAATTCTCAATTTACAATGATGTGCTGAGTGACTAGGCTTATACATCTGCTGATGTTGGGTTCAAAAGATAAAACTTTAAAAGAGACATTGTATATCTTGTATACACTCATATATCATGGACGCATTCATTGTCATTGAAGTTTATAAGTCTTGGTGTAAGTCAGCTGAAGGTGAACAACTGATATCCACTTTTGTTTCCTGCTCATGAAGTAACATGCACCTTACTGACCGTAACCAGGGTATTATCAACAGCAGGGGCGGATTTAGGCCGTCTTCTGGGTCTTCCGGAAGACGGTCAGATTTTCAAGTTTACATTGACGGGTATCTAATTTTTTTGTCGGAAGACGGTCAAAAATGGAGGGTGGATTTATGAAGATAATTTGGAAGCCTGTGAGAAAATATCTTTGGATCCGCCCCTGAACAGAAATAACACGTATGGTAAGCACCATGAGGATGCTCCACTATAAGAATATTTTATGAACTAAAAGGTTTAACATTTTCAGAGGCGTCCTATACAAGTAGCTATTGGGGCATATCATATGCTGCGGCTGCCAAACCCTACATATAACACAGACCATAACTAGATTACATCGTTCTCTGACTACACAATACTGTACCTGCACATCTGACACTCCCAGTCCATTGTCAGCTATGTCGTCCAGTATGCCTCCCAGTAACCTGCCATTTATCAGGGTCCCACTGGACATTGGGAGTGGACACAATAAGATGACCAGGGTGAGACAAGTACACTGCCAGACACGTTCTCTCTGTGTTGTAGTGTTTACACTGAACATTTCCATTTAGTTCAGCAGGAAAACATACTGCACTGGTGCATCTGAAATGAGGAACATGTTAAGTTCAGTAAATGGAAACTCTGAGTTTTGGGGACCTTTTGAGTTTCCTCTATTTACCATAAGATAAGCATTTCAATTTTNGTCCACATTAACTGTGTCAAGTGGAGCCACATTAATTGATGGTCAGATATTAGGACAGGTGTTAAAGGAAATAGCTAATGATGCACTGGGGGTAGAAGAGATGCAGGTGAGACATTCTGTGGTCAATTTAATGGTTTTATTTATTTTCAACAGAAATGATGGTACCATCCTCTCTGATCTATACTTTCAATTTTCAGTAACAGTAACAGGAGCTACATGTATTCCATCAGTATCCTGAGAGTTTGATTATTTATGCTTCTTTTCCAAAAATTGATAAAATTAAAAGATAAGAGGTTGATGTATGTAATTTAGGTTAATGTAGGTGTGAGTCATCTGATGTGGTTACTGAATAATTATATGGAGCATATATTTACATGTATTATGTTTAAAAAGACAAACAGTTGGGCCTAGTGGCTGTACAAAACTGCCTAAAAAAGCAAATGGAAATAATTAAATCTGACAATTAAAAGTGAGGTGTAAAAGACTTATAAAGTTTAATTTTTGCCCTGAAAAACAAAGTAACATTATTTTATGTTATTACAAAGAAGGCCAAATTGATGCTAGAAGAGTGTATATAATGTAAAATTTAAAATTTAATTAAATAAATTTTCACTTTAAAACTTAGAATATTATTCAATAGCTTAAATAAGAAAGTGGGCACAATCAATTTAATTAAATGTAAACATTTTTCAGATGCAATATGCAGAATAATTTTTCTGCTTATTATTTGTATGGACAAAAATTGAGGCAACAGTAAATAATCAGGGATATAATTCTAAAAAAATGTACAAATTAGATTTTAAATGATCACATCGAATGTTTTTATGTTATTATTTTGATTAAAATCTTTTACTTTTCAGGCAGAATATGACAAAGTGTCATATAGAGAAGATTCTATTGATGGACCAGGGAATATTAGAGAAGTAAATATTTGGGAGTTGTTTGGTACACAGTACCACTTGGTCAGAACTCTGAGTTGTGGACATTAACATAAGATAACTATTAAGAGTTTGGTGGGACATTGCAATTATGAATTTACATGACCATTTATTATTATAGACTGTCTTCATAAATCATATCATTCCATGTATCAGGCCTTTGAGGAATATAAGAGAGAAAAAAAAAAGATTTAAACCTTTAGATATTTGTTCAGAAAGAAAGATTTAATTGTTTCTATTTCAGTAATCACAACCTGAATATAAGTGAAATGCTTATATTTATTTTAGAAATGAAAAGAACATTTTTTAGTATTTTATGTCATTGAGATATGTTTCAGTTCTTTAAAATTTTTTTAAAATAAAGAGTTGCCATTTGAAGACCTGTTGACCAAAAAAAGCCCACAAAGTTTTCATATAAATTGTATAGTTACACAAATCACCAATCCTGATAATTCAGTCTCTGTCAGTAAATTGTAACCACCATCATGCCCATGGCAACGTTACTTCAAATTATGCCTTGTAATCTCATTACACCAATCCTCATATAAATGTTTTCAATGTATTGAAATTTTATTCAGCTTGCCAATTCACTGAGAACCAAGTTCCAAGGTCCGATCTCTGCACTGACCAAGATCAAAGATGCCATTGAAGATGACTATGCCAGCTTCTCCAGTGTCAGATCTATGACACAGTGCTGCCAAGTGGTGGAAGCTACTTATGACAAGAGGTTTAGTCAGGAGGTTTGTGATGTACACATACATATGCAAACATGGGCATATACACATACATATGCAAACATTGGCATATACACATATGCAAGGACAGATATTCACATGCACAAGTACATACACATACCAAGTGCATACTATTCACTGATGCACAAAACATGGGTACGCACGTATGCTGTGCATGCATGCTCATTTATTTTCATTCAATATAAAGGGTGTATGAAGACAACTCGTGCTATACATATGTATATGTAGATGTGCACATGTGCATGCACACTTGCAGTAGTTAAGTAGCTGTGAGGGACAGACTATGCAGGTGTTTACACAGATAGTTCTGTTGTCACAATTCGATAATAGTAAATAGTAAAAACTTAACAGGTTTTATTTTCTGTTGCAAATTTAGATGTAATTTTTCATGGGCATTTGAATAAAATACTGTGTTATTACCAACAATGAGAGGAATATTTTCTTAAATACCAATTTTTAATGTGATATTGCCACTGAGTGAATCTAAGTCATTTTTCCAGTATTTGAAATATTTTTTTCAAAAATTGACAGGTCAACTTTGACAAGGCCTGTGTTACAATAGCAGGCCAGAGTTCAGTGAATAAAAAATTCCCCACGGCAAGGGTTGTTGAAGTGATGAAGGAAAACGTCCGCATCAATCCAAATCTGAAGTGGCAGTACTTTGGAGGAGAAGATGGTATACTTCTCAATTATCCTGCAGTGAAACCCACAGGTGTGCCTGACTGTGATAGTTATGATCCAAGGTTCAGGTAAGTAACTTAATGTCTGACCTAAAATTTCAGGTTGTTGAGGACAATTTGCATGTGAAATAAGTTAGTTTTCTGATTTACAGCATTTAATTAATATCACTTAAACATGTTATGTTTATAACTTTTACAATGGAAAATGTAAAACATCAGAATCTTCCACTTGCATTTGCAAAGGCAAAAGATATAGAGATGAATTTTTGATGGGCCATCATGATCATGGACAGGTTCAAAAATCATTTTTAAAATTTAATAATGTCTTTGTATGCTGTGTTTTAATGCCTGAGTAAAGTGAAATTGGCATTAAGGAAAATAAAAGAGAATATTATCTAGGGGTATTCTGAATGCATCTCATAGAGCTTTATTGCTCCCATTGTCTCAAGTTGATGATTTGAAAAAAAACAGTGCTTTTACAAAATATATAATAATGTCAAATTATGCAAAATTTTGCGACCTTTTGTATAATTTTGTATTTTTTTATTATTTGTTTGGAAAGGTATATACAAACTAGGTATTTAGACAAAAATACAAAGAGACTCTATATTTTACAGTGTTAGAAATTAAAAGTTTATAATTTCAGGCCATTCTATGTGTCTGCAGCCACTCCAGTTCCCAAAGACATTGTGGTTGTCATAGATACATCAGGATCCATGACAACATATCACAACAGCAAGACACTGCTCCAGATTGCCAAAGATGCAGCAAGAACAGTTGTGGAAACCTTGAGTGCAAATGACAGGGTGTGTTAGACAAGTTTTCATTTAATCTTTTTAATTGATAATTGTACCACCAGCGTTAGCGCTGGCGGTACACATGGTTTTAGTCCCGTCCGGATCGTTCCGCCGGCTCCTAGACGGTAAGGGCCTCCGTACCCATCTCTTGGATTTAGGTCACCTATAATCTCTACTCGTTCCACGTAAAATTTGGGCTTTGTCGGTATTGGGGTCTAGGTGTGGCACTCATTGCAATGCACCCTTGTCCAAAAATGGCAAAATTAAATGCTAATTATCTACCCTACGGAAGGAATTATGGGAAAAATTTCTACAGACGGCTTTCCAAAAGTCACATGTGTAGATTTCAAATATGCCCTTGGATTTGACCTTTGACTTTTATTTCAAGGTTAAACGGGCCAACATTTTCAAAAAAAACGAATTTTTTTACGAAAAAAAAAATTATTTGCCCTGTTATTCAGACACCACATTATGCTATGACTCATATCATCTTTTTGCAGGTTGGACTTGTGTCGTTTTCCTCCGCTGCGTCCACGCCAGTGCTGTCAGAGAGCACCTGTTATACCACGTCTCTAGCTGCTGCCACGCCACAAAATGCCAAGAACTTGAAAAAATACATCGATAGTCTGAGGGCAGGTGGAGCAACTAACTACCAAGCCGCTATGGAAAAAGCGTTCTCGTTATTCAATAGTTCTGAGAATTCCTTTAAAGGTGAAAAAAGAAGTAGGTTCAATCATTCAATCTTCCATTCATCTCTGCCTGTCCTGCCCACGCTAGCGAGTGGCATTCACAGACTACTCCACGCTTGATGATTTTGTGCCACTTGTCTCAGCCTTCTGCTTGGTGCCATCTTTTGAGCTTTGCTTCGGTATTTCATTACTCTTTGCCTTCTGGCAATGCATGATTTTTGTTAGGCTACATTAATGTTTTTTTTTAGTTTCTGACTGCATATTATGATGTGTTGTTACACAGAATTACTTTTTTTTTTTACAAAATTTACAATGTTTTGTTAAATATTAAAATTTTAAGCTAGATGAAAGAATTTTTTAATTTAAATTCTGTGTTGCAAAGTATAGTTTAACTGATGCTGTCACATGTTTTCTGTGTAAATAGAGTGCAGTATATTTGAAAATCCACAGTGATCAATTTCAAGAATAGTGCTTTCATATTCATATTTGTGTTTCATTATTATGTATTTTTTTATCAATTTATTCAAATTGTAACATAGTTTTTACATGGCGTGATGCTTATTCAAATTTAAAACTCAAAAATTTTCTACCAAGTATCCAGCCTTTTACCTCTGAGTCATTTATTACAGATAAAGTGATATTATTCCTAACTGATGGTAAAAGAACCCAGGGCGGAAATCCTCTGGAGACCATACGGGATCAAAATGCCATCCTTGGCAACCAAGTCCTCATCTTAACATTTGGTCTCGGCCAGTGTAAGTCTGCATTTTAAATTATATTGATAATAATAATAATTGTTTAATAATTATATCACTCTGTAAATTATCATCCACAAATACCAGACTGAGCACTACCATGATATGGTGAAAGGTTGGGATTAATCAGGGGACAACAGACACCATTAATTTGTTTAAATTTATGTTTTTTTGATAAGATGGTGGAGACACTAAGACCCCATTTCCATAGATTTTAGATCGATCTTTCCCTGTGGGGAGTCTCACTAGAAGTGAAAAATATTTTGAAATCACCTTTTTTTAGTGGATTTAATAAAAGTGAAAGTTACAATAATGCAACTGAGTTATATTTCAGCCAATTTTAAGTCAATCATTGGCTAGCCATGCACTCAACATTCTATTTCAATTTTAGCCCTGGAGGAAAGTTCTCTCGCTGAATTGAGGAACATGGCTGCCCAGACTTTAAGCAATCAATTTTATGGGGAAATTACAGTGAGGCTTTCAAAACTTTCATAATTGCTTTTTTTCATTGATTTAAAATTATGCTACTTTAAAGGAGAGATGATGATTTTCTATTAATGCTATAAATGGTAATTGGTTGAATTACTTAAAAATTACATAAAGGATTTCTTTTTATCACTTTTCTCACGTTTGAAAAAATAATTGTTTTGTATATCAGGTGTGTGACTTTTGCATATCTTGATAATTGCTTTTGAGGGGGCTAGAAAAATTATAGAGTTAAACAATAAAAGGGAATGAAATATTTACTTAGAAATTTACCAGAAATTTTTACAAACTCCTTGCAGGCTGGCACCTTCACTCATGTTACGGACCCAAATCGTCTTCGTTCTGCCATGGCGTCTTACTACGACATCTTCAGCTCTACTGGCAGTCCCATTATAGACCCCCAGTTCTCTGTACCATATATAGACTTATTTGGGACAGGTAAGGCTGAACTTAATCATACCACCACCCAAGTGAATTGCTAAACTAAACTTCTTAATATCCATGCTTATGAAACTGCACTGATTGACCCTAAAATCAGATCAGCTCAGTTAGAGAAATATGATTCATGCAACCTAAAACTATAATGTGATGCTTAATGATGTGAGGCCTTTAGCTACAGAACATAATAAGATACAAATATTTTAATGAAAAGTGGAATTACAAAATAATAAATATTTTGAAATGCTAATAGAACTTAGAATTACTTAAACATATTTATAAGGTCAGAAGCAGGTAATTTGATGAATATAATTTATATATTAATGTTTTTCTATAAATTGCTTCCTATTTAAAATCATTGTTGTTCTTATATATATAAATTTCAGGTCTCATCACATCAGTCTGCTTGCCTGCATACCACAGTGGCCGACTAATTGGTGTAGCTTGCTCTGATGTTGCCATGAGTGAACTCCTCTCTGAAGCCACCTACTTTGACAAGGGTGAACTGAGCTATGCCTTTGTTATCAATGGCTATGGCAGGACATATTCCCACCCTCTGCTGCCAAGACCCTATGATGTCACAGATGATCCCATCTTTGTGGATATTCATCACTTAGAGAGGGCACCTGCTGCTAAATCTGTGATTAGCTCCATGATCAGGTTAGTAGTAGACATTTTTATTATTTCATGGACAAAACACAAAGATGTTTCCATTTTGATAAAGTACCATTTTCTATTGAAAGGAAAATTTAACAAATTTTTTCACATACGTCTCACAGACATAAGTTTTGTTGACATATTCGTAAAGCTTCGATCAAAATAACAACAATTCAAGGATGAATTACATATTTTATTCCTTGTGATATTTTTATCATCAGCTGCTGTTATTAAAAAAGTACTGATGTGAGAGAGCCTTCTTGAAACAATTATTTTTCTTCTCAGAGGCGAGGAGGGTAACAGCAGCTTTGTTTCCACCAGAACACAGGCCAGAGGAGATGTGTTCAGAGAAGGTGTCAGCTTAACAAATGTCATGTCACATTACTACTGGGCACCAGTAAGACTTCTGCTTCAAATAAAGACTAATTTCTGATTATAAATAATTTGAAGTGACTTGGAAAGATACATTTGAGCACTTGTGATATGGAGATATGAATTCAAGAGATGTGGATAATTATAGTATCAGTTGTGCTTCATTTTATTTATTTTTGCTTTCTAAGAAAGAAGTAAAAGTTAAAATGTGCATCTTCCGTAAAATCTGACTAAATGGTTACATGATTTTTTTTTATTTTAGACTGGCCCCATCATTATATCATTTGTTATTTTTTAAATTTTTTATTTTTGTCACGAATTCACTCCTGATCACAAAAACTACAGCTGTAACAATGACAATATATCACAACACCATGGAAATAACTCTTTTATCCCAAATAAGTAGCACTACAAGATAGGACCAACTCACGTTTTTTCAGATTCCTGGGAGTAATATCTCGGTATGTCTAGTCATAGGAGAGGGTGACAAAATCAGCGTGCCGTCACCTCAGACTGCAACGTCGGCCATGTTTAACTACCACAGATATGACCTCAAACCTCCATCAAGTCCATGCAAGCACTTTTCTCGATATGCATCGAAAGGTTCGTACTCTTTATAGTAACATATGCTAGAGCTTTAACATGTGTGGTATGCTGTGATAAGCCACATGGTTTTTTGAATGAAAATGATTCAGGAAATTCATATCATAGTCATGAAATTTACATTTTTCAGTGGAAAATCTCTCTTTAATTCCATCAAAATATAACACAAAATGATATTCTACAAAATGGTAGTAATAACAATGCAGAGTAGAAATACGTAGATGATATTTGTTTGATTTTCAATTATTGTCCATATTACAGGCTCTAGTGCAGTGATGCTCACCCCAGGGGCCTTCAGACAGCCATATCACTATCTTAACACTGAGGAAACAGCCACCAATGTCACACAATATGAGAGATATCTCACAGGACAGAGCTCACAAAACCCTGGCTTAAAGGTCAGTTGTGTATTTTATATAAGGGCTCCTGATATAATTCCTGCCTTAAAAAGGTGATATTTATGACAGATCTAATTGTCAATTCTAATGCAGGACAGGTGTCTGAGGCACAGTGGGATGACTGCAGTTACGTCATAAGCCATAGGGATCATTTCCAGACCCTATCATACTAACTGTTGATCGATCTCCAAGGGGATTCTTGCTGAATTGCAATTAACTTAAGCAGCTTATATGTCTTTCACGGAAGCTGTTAAGGGGTAATTAACTATTGTGTAGCGGCTTTAGTGGGTGTGCCAGACATCTAAGCCGCTTAAGCTGAAAGCAATTTAGCGAGAAACGCCTTAGAAATGGATCGATCCTGTTAAATCAATCTAGGTATGGGAACCCAGTCATAGATACTCCTCCCTCCCTGTGATAGTTAAATCTCTGGTGTGACAGGATTCTAAATGTTCACAGGAACACATCTGTGAGGATGACTTGCCCTGAATTGCCCAGTAATTTAGAAGCATGGGTGATAATTAAGTCACCAGTATAAAATGAAGTTACTTTTTAGTATTATTATTATAGATTATTACTTTCATTAACTCGTTAAAATATTTAGACATTTTGGTTCTGTTTGACATTTAGTATTTTGCTGTCTGTTTTTCTTCCAGTTACTTAAAAATGATTTATTATTATTATTATTATTATTATTATTATTATTATTATAGAATATTACTTTCTTTAACCCATTAAAATATGGTGAGAATTTGATTCTGTTTATCATTTGTAGTATTTTGGTGTCTGTTTCTCTCCCAGACCTCCATTCTGGACAGTGTAGTGATCACATACAAAGCTGAAGAAATCTGGAAGAGGAAACCAGCAGACTTTGTTGTGTATAGATCTATTGGGACGATGGACGGTTTAATGAGACTTCTCCCAGGGTTGCAGCTGACGAAAAATTACGACCACACCAGGAGAGCTTGGTACCTGTTTATCTTTGTCAGATTTTGTTTTGTGATTCAACTTTTACCCGAGTCTGAAGAAAAACCCAGTCTAATTATTTTTAGGCTAAGGCCACATTCAGAACAGTGGACTAACTAGTCTGCAGGTCAAGTATGGCTTCCCTCTAAAAAACATGCCATCTAATCCACTAATAGACACTGAATAGATTCTCTTTGAAATGTTACCTCCATTTTTTAGGTTCAAGAGGACCTTAACATACAAGGGCACAAATGTGGTTTCACCGCCATATTTGGATGTTTGGGGTTCTGGCTATGTCATAACACTCAGTCATACTTTATATGAGGGAAAGTGAGTAATATCTGTAATAATGATAATAATGAAGTGAAATTATTACATATTTATTTAGTAGTAATATTCTAATGAAATAGAAATGCACAATGCCTTATTTTTCAAAGTAAAGAATGTAATTGTTCCCAAAGAGCCGTAACATGTTATATTACTACCAGCAAGCACATGCATATAGGACATCATTTCACCTCTCTTGCATCAAAGTTGATAATGTGTCTAGTCCCATCAGAAACTATGTTACTTTTTTGCTTACTTTACACAAGATAGAAATATAGACCTACATGTATTTCACCATTGTGTTTTCGTGTATTATTTTGTCAGATCTGGAGGAGTGCATACACCCAATGACAAAGTGACGGCAGTTATTTTGACGGACTTCACCATTACTTATTTCTACCAGGTGATTCAGGACAGATACGTAAACTGTAGAGATGCTGGATACAGGTAACAACCAATTACTTAAATTGTTTCATTATATGTACATTATAAAAATATTTTAATGAAATCTTTTACTTTTGAAAAACTTTGGGAATTTTTTAATTTTAACCTAGTGTTTGATGATAGAAATATTATATTGAGAAAAAGAAAGTAATATGTTTACATACAATATTCTTTTTTGTTAATTGGTATGAATGAATATTTTTTCATGTTTTAGCTGCTTAGTGATGGATTCCAGTGGTTTCATAGTAATGCATGATGATTTTGTAAAAGCTACTGACACGCCTGATATTGAAAATGTACACATTTTAAAAAAGGTTAGTGATGCATACCTTGAACAGGGTGAATTACTTATTGTAAATTAGAATTCAGAATTGCGTATGCCAGTTTTCTTAGATCGGAAAAATAAGGCAGTGATTGTCTGAATTTTTTTTAATAATCAAAAGAATGAATTGCTTTTCAAATATTCAAATTGCAGTATTTAAAACCAAAAAATGTTATGCTTCTCATATTGCAAAGGATGGATTTCATTTTCAGGAACCTGTAATAGGTTCAAACCTGGTCACAAGGGGGCTGCTGTCCAAGAGAAGCTGCCTGGATTTTGAGTCAATAAAGGAACAATACTTTTGGCAGGTAAATGGTAGCAGTTTTTATAAATGTTTGATTAATATTTTATTCATTATGAAGGCATCTAATCTGATAAATTTTTTTGTACTGTCTCTTTTAACTGTTCTCTACAATAAAGTTAGAAACTTTACATATTTCTCAAGTAAAATTTTGATGTATTGTTCTGTTAAACCAACTTCTTTGAGTAATTTTCCAGGTAAATTTACCAAATCCTAATGGACTGGATCTTATGCAGAGCAGTCCATCATATGAAATACGACCAATTCCTAACAGCAACATTTACCTGATAATCTACAGCAAGAAAATGTCAGAAAGTATTTCTTGTTCTTGTGTAAGTCAATTATATATGACTTTGAATATTATTTTAAATATTAATAATATTGATATAATGAATTAATTGATTTATCACGTAAAGATTTTTATAAAAATGACAAACTTTTTACAAATTGTTTGATTCTTCATAAACGATTACCAGGTCTAATTATTTTGATCAAGATAAAAGAAATATTTTGCCCCTCCATCATTTTTTGAATGTTTTTACTATCTCAACTTTCTAAGAGGTAATGAATTAATGAATTAATACAAATATGTCACCTGCTTACTTTATTACCCAGTCACTGGTGGCTTTCTGTAAGCTGGGTTAGTGCTAACACTTGCCAATTTAGCCAAATGCTAAAACTGACTTCAATTGGCTAAACAAAAAGGGCTTGATTTGACTAATTTTATTCAAATTAAAGCCATTTGGATAACAAATTGACAAAAAAGTGGTAATTTGGCTAAGCGAAAAAAAATTGCTAGTGCTACCCCAGTGTAAGGAATGGGCCACCCAATGATGAAAGTTGTTAGCATTATTTTTTTTTTTGTCAAAATCAAAACACTGTAACTCAGGCTTACATATCTGTAATGTAATAGATATAATTATAGAATATCTTATACTATATAGAGATGATTATTTTCCAGCCTTTTGGTTCTGTGTCTCCATCCAAGTTTGAATGTTCTCCAAGACAAACATGCGAGTGTCCCTGTCACAGCAAGGCTGACAACTTTAACTACTGTACAAACTTTTACACCTTATTATAGTAAGTGTCCCTGTCACAGCAAGGCTGACAGCTTTAATTACTGTACAAATTTTTACAACTTATTATAGGAAGTGGTTGTGAAACGTGGTTATCTTTATTCTTCTTAAACAAACCTTAAGGCAAAACCACAGAATACAATTTAACAATACAATACAATAATTTTTTTTTCATGTCGGGTATAAATTGAAAGGAAACATTAGCTTTGCTGCTATTCATCTACTTTACTTATGAGACAGATAGACCAGTTCATATTTCAGCATTCTGTTTTAGGTCTTCAATTATAATATTTACATTTATCAATTTCTTGTACTATTGATTCTATTAGACCAAAAATAATGAACCTGTATTTGAAGTAAATGTAGTCAATAGGCGGTTTCTGTGTAAAAAAAAAAAAAAAAAAAAGCAGCCCCCGAACTCCCAGTTTCAGGGCCAAAGGGCCCCTTTTCTTCCAATATTTTTCTTAGCAACTTGTATTCATATCAAATATGAATGTCTTGTTCACTCTAGTGATTCGGCCCAAACCTGTGCCTCCCCAGCGCCTGACCTTACAGATATTGCCAAGGGGGAAGTCGAGAAGGTGAAAGACCTGGACCTCTGCATCCCTGTGAACTGCTCAGCTAAAAGTTCCCAAGAGTAAGTACAACTTGAGTTCATCCTGAGTTGAGAGGTCACTAAAACTGTTTTTTTTTTTTTTTTAATTTCTTTCATCAGCGTGCAATTTGAAATAAGATTTGTGGAAGACTGTCTGCAAAGTGCTCAAAAAACCTAGCTCCTAGGAGTTAGTAGAAGACTAAACAAACTGTATTCGCCTGGTGATTTCTGCAGTCAGGCAACTAGAATTTAAGACAAAGGCAAGCGTTTGCTAATGAACCACTTGCCCAATGTAAATTGGATGTTATAAAGCACCCCCCCCCCCCACCACCACCACCACCACTATTTGATTTTGTTTTTGCCCCTTACTTCCCCACAACCTCCCAAGTCTTTTAAAAATTGATTTTGGATTGGGGCAAGTAGAATTTTAGATGGCTTGTCAAGCTCTGAAGTGGATTGTCCTGAGTTCCCAAGTTTACTGAAGACTCCCCTCTGTTGTCAGGGTGCTTCTGTTGTTAGAGCTCTCCTGACGGTGGAGGAGAGATTTCAGTTAACTCTGACCCAAAGGGTGATGTACATGGAAGTAGAAGTTAGAACTATTGGATAAAGTTTTAACTGTAACATCTGTGGTTAACTTGATAATAGAAGAGTTTTAATGATTTGAAAGTGACTTTCTTGATTATTTCCATTGAATTTTTGTTAATGTTGTTGCTATAATCATTATTTTGCAAGCTTCACCACTACCGGTAAGTGTTATACCTGTTATTAAATTAATCTTTCATTTATTGTAGTGTGTTCATTCAATCTTTTTCACGTTTATAAAAAAATTTAAAACTGTATCTTAACGTATTCCAGCTCCTGTTTCTCAGTGGCAGGGTGCAGTTGGTGCTCTCTGGGTAAAAGAGGAGAAACCTTAGCATCCCCTTTCTGTGCTAGCCAGTCTGTATGTTACTTTGGAAAACTGGCCCAGGATCAGCCCTGCACCTCTGGTATGTATTGTGTGCACATGCACAAACTCTCACACATGCTCACGCTCAAACTTACACAACTTTTATTTACTTATAAAAAAGCAAAAATTCTGGGCATAGCTAGTCGAAATGGTTCACTCCTTTTGTTTATGTTGAAAAGAAAGTCAACTTAAAACAATTTTAATTTATTATAATTGTATTCATTAATGATAATATTATAGATTTATTTATCCTGATCCCATTACATTTCCAGGTACCTGCTCAGATCCTGATGGTGGAACACAAACATCAGGTGAAAACAATGCAGGGGCCGTAGCTGGGGGAGTCATAGGGGCAGTTATACTACTTATCTTAATTATCATCATATTCATGTTATACAAGAAAGGAAAGATCTGTGCATCCAAGCCCAGGACACCAAGTAATGTGAACAGCCCCGGCTCCAATAACTTGGCTTTCTCTGATATAACCTCCCCCCCTGTGAACCCCTCTGCTCCGCCCTCCTTTGGACATGTTGGCGTGGACCCCCCACCAAGTTACACTGAGGTCTATCAGCAAGGGTTCACTTATAAGTAACAGCGCTTTTTTTTTCATCTTCAAATTTCTTATAGACAGGTGGTATGATTAGGATGTGAGAGACAGAGCACTTGGCTTAAGCATCACTTGCACTTTACAAGTCTTGCCATTTCCTGATAATTTTATCTGAAATACTGGTATCAGGTGTGTATACGGGATTGCAATGAAATTGCTTAACGTAGGTACATGTTCCTCATGTTGAATAACGTGATTTATTCATCACAATTCACATTTAAGATGGGACAACAAATTACTTATCCCATGTCACATTCCAGACATGTTAATGTGATATTCAATACAAATTCACATTCCAGATGTGATAACATGATTTTCATCCCAATTCACATTCCAGATGTGATAAACATGATTTTCATCCCAATTCACATTCCAGATGTGATAAACATGATTTTCATCACAATTCACATTCCAGATGTGATAAACATGATTTTCATCACAATTCACATTCCAGATGTGATAAACATGATTTTCATCACAATTCACATTCCAGATGAGCAAAAACACTGCTTTTTATCTCTTTTTGTTCTTTGTATTACATATATTTAATTATTAACTATTTTTATAGGATATTATTATTATTATTAATACTCAAGAGAAGTGAAGACAACTGAATCTCTATGCATTATAATTTCCATTTAACACAGTATTGAGCATTATTTACATCTTTGTCGAATATACTTTTTCTTCTATACAAAAGAAATATCCATTGAAAATATTCATGTTTTCTCAAAGAATACCCCACTCTGCCTGAAATGAGATTTTAGACTATATATTAATACATATCATGTAACTGTCATTGAAATTGTTCAACTCATCTGGAACACTGTTCATCATTATCATTTTGAAACCAGATGGAGAAACTAAGCAGTTCAGAAATGATGCATATCTCTATGGAAAAAATATTGCATAATATACAGACATCACAGGCATTGTGAATATCTGAATATATGTGTCTGAATATAATTTTTACTGGATTTATTTTACAAAAAAAAGTTAACTATGACAAATTTGTCCTAACAATGAGAACCCCTGCTGTAAACCAAGTAAAAGAAAAAAATGTTATTACTGGAAGAATTATTTATGCTGTATAAATTATTTATAGTATCACCTTGACCTTCGAAGAAATGATTTTTGCAGTGGTCTTATCAGTCAAGGTAAAAACAGTTTCAGTCTGTATCTGTGTGTATGTGTTTACAGTTTATATTTATAATGTTATACACTGGGACAGGTAAGAATGGTTTTATTGGCCAATGACAATTTTTTCCTCTGTCTTAGACCTATTTTTCTTTTGCTCAAGTAACAGCCATTTCAATTTTTTTTTAAATTTGATAATGTAAGCTTTAATTACTCCAGATGTTTTATGCTGGGAACTTTTATGGACACACTATGCAATGTACAATATCCTAGATGTATTTTGGAAATAATTTTCTGCATTAATATGGTATATACAATTTCTTTAATAAAGTAGTAATGATGGGCACCTTCTTTATCCTATACTATTGTTATTAAAATATTTGTTTTATTTACTTACACATTTCCTTGCTGACTCAAATCCAACTTGTATTCAGGATTTTAATAATAATAATATGTATTTATTTGCAACTTAAAAAGTTGGATTTTACAATAAAAACAAATAGTCGTGAGATGCACAATCTTAAAATATACTTGCAAGTTTTAAAATGATTCGATACACATTAAAAATTCATAAAAAACTCAGTTCTTAAAATTAGATAAAGCCCATTGGATAAAAGTTTTTGACGATCGTGCAGTCCTCAATTTTGGCACAGTGTACTTATAAACCTGGTGCAAAGTGTAGGAACTTTCATTTATCTCTGGTAGCAAATGATTGATTTTGTGTCCTTCAGAGTACATGTTATGCAATAATGTTTTAGATAGTTCATCTCTTCTACAAGCAAGAGTGATAAGTTTACATGTTTCAAGTGCCCCATCGTAGGACAGCTCTGGGAATATAATCTTACATGCTCTAATCTGAATGGATTCAATTTTATCAATTTGTTGTTGTGTAAGACATGGGTGCCACACCTGACATGCATATTCTAATGTAGGTCTGATTACTGATGTATAAAAGCTTACAAGTTCATTGGTTGGAATACCCGCTCTTTTCAGAAGCTTAAGATTGTGTAGCCTTGTACTTGCTTTTTTACAAATATCACAGATGTGACCTTCCCAGCTCAAATCACTACTGATCCTAACCCCTAAGAAGACAGCAGACCCCACTCTCTCAATCCTTTGATTATCTACTAGCAAGGGTGTAGTTTAGTGTCCTTTTTTGGAGAAATCAAATATGATCTCTTTGGTCTTGGTAGTATTTATTGTTAGTTTATTAGCATGGGACCAGAGAGTAAGTTCTGTTGTTGCATCAGGGAGATTGTCCTGCAGTTTGGTATTCCCATAGCTTAGAATTGTGGTGTCATCTACATATTTGAATGTCACATTTGGTGCTCAGATCATTAGTCATAATGACAAATAAAACTGGATTTTCATGTCATATTTTTGACAGATGAGAAACAATTTTTTTTTGTTCGTTGGCATAATAATCAATTATTTGGATTTCCTGGAGAAAGTGCCTTACTTTTACATTTGCTTTTGTTGGTGCAAATAAATCTGTAAAATCTTGAAATGTTTCCTTTTAATCTGCATTACCAATAGATAAATGAAAGACACCGTAAAATTAAAAATAACAAGTTTATTAATTTAACATGAAGCAATAACATTTGTACAACACAATTATGTAACTTTGTGACAGAGATAGAAGTGAACTTATTATAATGATGGCAGCATGATTTTTTGCACAACTTATTTTTAATTAGAAACAATATAGTGCGAGTTAAAATTTGATACTACAAATGTCATATTTCTCCTTCCAAAAAGGCTTTATTCTGAAGATGTTCTTTTTATATCACAAAGTTGATAAATTAAATGCTAAAATTAAACCATACAAAATGTATTTAATAATATACTTATTAAGTCAATTTAAATGATTTTTACTAAGTCTTCTTAAATGAATCTTAATATTTGTATAAATTAATAAATAGAGTTGATATAAAAGCATAGTGAGTCAGTGGCATCACTGCCCCTAGTGTTCTGTATGCTTAAGCTTTGACTGGCACATTAACATACAGTATTTTAAAACAAGCTAGTAATTTCAAGTTTCTAGGTGACTTCTTTAAGTTTTTAATCGTATTCTTCCAATCTAAACAAAGAAGTGACATCCCAGATAGCATGCATACGTTGGGCCAACGTTGGCCCAACGTTGCCTTGGTTGACCGTGCAACGTTGGCCCAACGTTGGGTTTCCATCTAAGTGCTCACTTTGGCCAACGGTTGGCTGAACGTCTTTTTAATGCCAACGCATTGCCAACGTATTCCCAACCAAACTGCGTTGGCCCTACATTGGGCCAACTAATAACCAACATTGGTCCAACAATTACCCAACCTGTAACCAACAGTG